TCGGCATATGGAACTGGACAATACGGACAAGTCTCCCCAGAAAGAAAAGAATTTCTGAATTCCAGGAAAAATTTAGTGGGGATTTTAACAGAATCCCGTTATGGACAAAATTCAGTTGGTCTGCGAATTCCTTCTTCAATCCATGAGAGAGATGCTTTTTCTTTTTATTTAAATGGATTTGATTCCGCAAGGTAAGCTAACTTTCTTTGAATATGAATACCTCTGTTTTGATAGCTCTTGATATATAATAAACTAATCTAAACTCTATTGCAAAAGGATATAACGGTTTTGTTAACTTGACGTCGAGGGGTGAAACGGTGCATATTTTTTTTATTCGTTATAAAAATAATAAAATAAATAAGCTTTATTTAGAGTCGGCATGGTTTACAAAAAAGTCATAACTTAAGCTTTATTGAGCTATTAACCGATACTCTTCGTTTGAGTTGTGTTACATTTTATCATACTAGGTTACTATACGAGAAGGGATTGCTCATTGTAAAAGACCCTTTATTTTATTTATCATTTGTATGGCATGAAACTGCGTGATTTTTATGCAATAGTCGGTAAAGGACCTCACCAGAGCTCATGTTATATTTGTTTTTGTGTACATATATGCCGACTTTAAATACTTTTTTATTACTTACGTATCTATAATTACTTACATCCACATCCTTTGGTCTCCGATGGATACTTGTCACATTGGCAATCATATCACATTTCCTTATCTAATATGCAAGTGTCTCAAACTCTTCAACGATGAGAATATAGAATTGTCTTAATTTCTTCACGTTGTCTATTGCTTTTGTACATGATTTAGTTTGAGTTACTTCCCTTAGATTACAATTTTACCAAAAAAAATGGATAAATGCATAATTTCTAAAATTATGATTACATTGTACCTGATTTAGTTTGAGTTACTTCCCTTAGATCACATTATTATATAAAAAAAATGGATAATAATATCTTTGTAACATTATCAATGCGAGTATTGGTATATTACTGAATTATTTCTCAGTAAAAATTGTAACTTTTCATTTGTCCTCTTATATAAAATGTGTCTGATTATTGAAAAATGACGATAACTGAAAGGTGTTTTATTTACTGAATGTTAGCTGATTTTTTTTCCCTCGGTAAATTCTTAAAGTGTTTCATTGGTCCTTTTATAATAAATTGTGGTTATTGAGTAGTGAAGATATAACAGAGGGGATATTGAAACTCTGATGTATTAGTCCCAGGTTACAAGTGCTGTATGGTAAACGTGTGGATACTTTAACAATGTGCAATGCAAATAACATAAAACTTTTCAGAATGTTATCCACCAAATTAAAGGGCATTCAAGACCTAACAATATTATTGGAACAATCATTTTACATAACAATTTAGCATATTGGTCACATTCTTATAATGATTTTAGATACAATTTACACATATAAAAATATTAGACGGGTTGATGTTGTGCAGTCTTTTTTGTTGTTGAGGTTTAAGACGTTACCCATAGTGCCCTAGGAAGCGATGCAACTCTTATGCAGAAGTCACCTAGTCGTTGTTTTATGGCGAAATTCCTTCTAGTTACTATTGCAGATCAGTAAAAGACGCATCTAACTGTGAGGAATATTTATATTTATTTAACATAGGGACTTGTACTGACGGGCTTTAAAAAGGCAACACAGAGTTTGGTTATTTTTTTTATGAACCATTTCTTTGAATTAATACCCACACTTAAATCAGTAAAACATTTTGCATTGGCATAATGCCGAAACTGAGCAATGAACATCTGAATCGGGTCACAAAAATGTTGCAGGCAGGAACACACCAGCGTGCTATTGCTGGACAATCTCACGTCAGAAACTCCTTATATATACAGTCCTTCCAACAACGATACAAGCAGGCTGGATTTGTTATTGACCACCCATGACCAGATCAACCTGTAGTGACAACTCCACGTCAATAAAATTTCATTACTCAACGCCATTTGAAAGACAGGTTTACTACTGAAACGTCAATTGCTAACTAAGTCGTCGTATGCCATGACAGACACATTCACGCCATACATATTTTCATTATATACTGAAAATCAAATACACTAGAATCGACTGCAGAGAAACATTTTAAGGCCTAAGGTTTAAACCGATAAAATTGCCTTTATAAGACTGTAATGGGTGAGACAGAGTTCATATCAAAAGGGACAAAAAAGAATGCAAAACATGCCCAATAGAACTGGTTGACTCTTGTGTCAATCATTATGGTGCTAGTTACAAGCAGTCACTGCCTTCGAGGTGACGAGTCCATTGATAAGAAGAAACCCAGGGTTTCAGTGCATGCCACATGATTTGTACATTAAACTTGACGTAATCAATTCAACTTACGAACTGCAATTTTTATTTAGACAATGAATTAATGTGTGAAATTTATGTTTATACATTTATCTATGCAAGTATTGCATATTTAAAAATGAAAATTGAAAAGATTAATCTGGTGTTGCGTTTTTAAGGTCCGTCAGTATATAGCTGTCGACGTTACTAGTGTTTAGTTGGGGCTGTATAAATTCCACATAACAATTAACTAAATGCTGTAAGTCGGACGCCCCCAATGGAGGCTTAGTTAGAAAATTGATTTACTTTATAAAGTTTGTGGAAGATCAGGTTAAATCTGGCAACGACGACTTAAAAATGATTATACATGTATATGACCAAAACTTAATATAATTGTAAGTAAATTTGTATGATCTTTCAAGTTATCAGGCAGTACTTACTTATTTAATATGCACAAAGTGTACCAAACTTACGGTAGAGAAGGTAAAAGAGGAGGAAAAGGTACGGCGAAGTATTACGTGGCGGGCGGGTGCGGTTATGAAATTGGAAATATACAATAATTGTTAGTCAGCCATGTTGCCTTATTACTCTGGTTGAGATAGTTATGTACCTATGTATGAATGTGGAGAAAATAGTGAATAAAGTTAGAAAGTGATATACGAGTTACACAGTTTCAGATATATTTATCCTGAGCATGATCTTCAGTGAGAGAGCACTTTTGTTTTTAGATTCATTATAGTTACATCTGCAATTGTTATATAAGATAAGATAAGATAAGATAAGATAAGAATTTTATTAATCTAATCAAGAACCCATAAAGGGCATCATTTACAACAATATTAAGCACAATATGATTGGAAAAAAGAAAAACTATATCCTAATATAATACTATCATATATTGGACAGGATCAGAGCCTAACACATCATGTGTCTTACATAACATTAACAATAATTGCATAATAATTTTATATATTTTGTATCCACCTGGATCTTATTTCTAAACACTTAATTATATAATTGCCTAGGCACATAAGAGTTGGTAAATGCTCATTTGTGAACAGCCAGAAATATTTTTTATCCTTGGGTAATTCTTTAAAATTATTACAAAAACTGTTTACTTTATCCCATAATAATTTTCTCTGTTCGTTATATAAAGGACAACTTACTGTGAAATGGGTCTCATCTTCAATAGAATTTGATCCATGTGATAGGCAGTGATGACATAGACGCTGACTTCTCTCTATGTATTTTTTACTATACCTATCTTTCTCAATTTTAAGATCATGTGCACTTATTCTCAATTTACATATAGCTCTTCTTATATTAAAATCTTTAATTGATAAATAAGCCTCCTTTACGAAGTCAGTCTTGAGGTTGAAATAATTTTCTAATTTACTATTACCTTGTGATAAGGTATCAGATCTTTTGACCCCCCAAAATGTTTTAAAACTGTTACAAAGTTTACATTTTACAAATTTAATGAATCTATTGAGCTTTGTATTCAAATTTTGTATATCAAGTGATTGAAGGACATATCTCATAGATGCATATATTAGTTGATAGGAATTTTGTTGACGTGAACATCAGAGACAGCACCCTCTTTTTTTTGTCATTATTACAATTACATATTCCTTCAGGATTCCAATATTTTATCCAGACTTGAAATATTTTATTGTATAACGCATATATTATATTCTATAGGAATGTGCCTACGGTAATCAAAATGTACAACATATACAAAAAACACGACAAATAATGTAAATAAAACATAATACACAACAAGGAATAATTATCCGTATGCAATAACCAGTATACTAAAATATGTACTTTAAGTTAATTTCTGTCGCATTTATATATAAATGGGTTAAGAATCTGGCGCTAAAAATTAAAAAGGTTAAACATTAGAGCTAAAACATCAGATTTTTCCCTCTCGATAAATGATGTCAATGCGTTAAAATTTACTCCGCTGGTAAACTGCGTGTAGGCAGGAACATATATATGTTAGATATACTGTTCCCAGGTGTAGGGTACAAAAATGTATGTAGGGAAGTTCATGATTGCTCAATAATCTTTATATTATTTTGGTCGGTCGAAGAACAAAATACATCGTTTAACATGTGTTCAATCTTTATTAAAACATAAAACATAACTTTGAAGATTCAGTTTGAAAGAAAAAAAACATGGTTAGCCATTAAGGTAATTGTCTCTGAAAAAGGGGGTCCTTCATTTCCGTATTCATTAAAATTTAGGGCATTTTCCTTTATTCTCTATTCTTTATATTTTTGTTCATTTTTCTCTATTTATTATTTTTTTTACAATTTACATTCCCTATTCTTTAAACCCCATCCACACCCGTAATGGTTGTCGTTGGTTCTTCTTCTTCAGATATGTACAGTGATTACGAACTGTCTGCTAAAATTGCTTTTTCAACCTAAAGCGGGTCGTAGGTTTTCTCTTTTGAATTAAATTTTGTACTGAATATCTCTATAATATTTAAGAGTGATGACACGGACCTGGAATAAGCAACTCTTGTCTGTCGTACCTTGTACGGGATGGTAGAATACAACTTGTTCTTAAAAATATCACTCTTCAAAAGGAAGGTGATTTTAGTCTAATATTTTTTATGAAACTTTTTCCAGAACTCGAAAGTTAAAAGCAATGCTGAAATTTGTTTGCGGTACGACAATTTCCCTTGTTTGTAAACTTTATTTTAACTTTAAAAGAACTAAGCAAAAGTCCCGACACATGGGCTGGGTAAGAAATAAAATAGTAAGTTTCGTCTGCTACGACGTAGCATAATAGTTAATACGCTTGTCCAGTCTTGACGTTTACAATTACAAACTGACCAGGTCATAAGATTAGATGGTTACGGGTCACTTCACACTGACCAAGTAGCTTGTGTAGTGGCTGGAGTACACAGGTGAATGACCAATGTATTGACCAGCATATCGGTCGAATAATTTTATTTTATGATGAAGATTACTGAAACTTTCTATTTTTAAAAGATAAAAAAATAATATTTGTAAAGTTGTTAAACGACTTTGAGTACAAAATACATGTATGGAGAATATTTTCCTTGGAATGTAATACACAAACTGGACTTAGTAATGCTATGGCCGAAAGGTTAAATTATCCTGATGAAGATTATGAAGATGCTCTCACAGTTTTAAAAGGATTTTCTGATAATAATTTTGGAATTGGTGCTGTTATAAGAATTCTAACAGATTGTGGAAATAATATGTCTGGGTATGTAGAGTGGTTATGTAACTTTTTGTGCATGTCTGTCTGTGTAGCCTGCAGAGATTTGTAATGGACTATAGCTAATGCAGGTCACCTGTGTACAATACACACATAACAATGAATCATTTCACCTCTTTTATCATACTTATGTAGTGTCAAAATAATTGAGCTTTTGTAAGTTTATTTTAGATACACATATACAAATTAAAAAACAGAATTTTTGCTGAAACTGCAATATGTGCAACTTAATGTTTGGATGCACAGATGAAAACTTGAAAAAAAAAGTAGTTGAATAATTTCCGGTTGAAGATTGTTGATGATGTGGGAAGAAAAAAATGGTTAATTAATAATTTGAAAAATTAAAAGAATGAGGCGATTGAATGCAGTTAACTGGAAGCAAGCTTTGAAAGTTGTCAAAGAACTGGATGCCTTCTCCCTGTGTACAAATTATACACACATAACAATGAATCATTTCACCTCTTTTATCATACTTATGTACAAATGTAGTGTCAAAATATTTGAGCTTTTGTAAGTTTTTTTTAGATACACATATACAAATAAAATAACAGAATTTTTGCGGAAACTGCAACATGTGCAACTTAATGTTTGGATGCACAGATGAAAACTTGAAAAAAAAAAATTTTATTCAGAAAAAAAAGTAGTCGAATAATTTCCGGTTGAAGATTGTTGATGATGTGGGAAGAAAAAAATGGTTAATTAAAAATTTGAAAAATTAAAAGAACAAGGCGATTGAATGCAGTTAACAGGAAGCAAGCTTTGAAAGTTGTCAAAGAACTGGATGCCTTCCCCCCCCCCCCCAAAAAAAAAATTATTGTGTATCCCATACATTTGATAATTTTGATTAGTATTTAATGGATTATTCCCTATAACAATTATTTCAACAACGCAACAGAAGGAATACTTTAAATGTGTTATATACATGTTACATGGTAAATAAAAGTGCTCCTGTACCATGTGTACCCATTTGGAATGTTATCAGTAAAAAAAATCTCTAATTTTTTTTTAAATATGTGGGAATGCTTGAAAAGAGTTGGTGAAGTGCATCACTATTTAATTGTGTCTGTTGTATCAGGTAGAGGACATAAGAGATTTTTAAATTGTTTTAGTCATGTTTTTCCAGAATTATTGAAAACAGGAGTTATCTACCTTTATTTAAAATTTTGAATCAATTAGATATATATAAACCTAATTTAGCTATATTAAAAGGAACAAGTGGGGGGAAAAATGAAACTATAAGATACAAATGTACTTTCAGTGGTATTTGTATACAAGTTATATATTATTAGTGCACATGTACTTTCTCCAAATGATTTTTAGTATTTAAAAAAGAATACAAATGTACTACATCAGAAATGAATACATAAACTTCATTAATTTATACCAGGTTGAAGTTGAATATATATACTGTTTTCTGGGTCTAGAAGTGAAAGCCACTGTTTGAATCATCTATACATCCTAATTTTTCTAACTGAAATCACTTTTTTTTTTTAGCTCACCTGGCGTCCGTCGTCTGTTGTTGTTGTCGTCTGTTAATTTTACAAAAGTCTTCTCCTCTGAAACTACTAGACCAAATTTAACCAAACTTGGCCACAATCATTATAATGGTATCTACATGTAGTTTAAAACTTGTGTCCAATTACCCTGCCTGTCCACCAAGATAGCCAACATGGCTAAAAATAGAACATAGGGGTGAAATGCAAGTTTAGCCTATTATTTTAAAAACCGCTATAAATAGAGAAAATCTGACGGAAGCAAAAACGTTGAGAATGTTGAGCTCTACCTTTTGTACATTTCCTTCAAAACTGTCAGACGACAACTTTTTATAGGAGTACAGTAGTTGCCCTTAAATGATGAATTTAACCATTTTAAAAATTTTTTGCCTATTATCTCAAAAGTTATAATAGATAGCCAGAAACTTTCAAAAGCAAAAATTATAAGCAAGACCAGATCTACAAATAAGTCAAATATGATCAAATTCGTCAGACGACTCCTTATTAGAGATATTTCCCTTTAACAACGATTTTAACCAATTTTTTTGGTTATTGCCTATTATCTTAAAAACTATCATAGATTAATAGAATCTTTAATAGGTAAAAATGATCATCACAACAGGATCTACGAATAAGTAGCATAGCCAGATCTTCAATCGACTCCTTATTAGAGTTATTGCCCTATAATGAAGATTTTTACCAAATTTTTCCATTTTTGCCTAATATCTTAAAACCTATAATAGATAGATAGAAACTTTAAGAAGCAAAAATGATCAACAAGCCAAGATCTACTAATAAGTCAAACATAACAGAAATTGTTAGTCATCTCCTTATTGAAGTTATTGCCCTTTCATGACGATTTACCCCATTTTTGCCTATTATCTTGAAAGCTGTAACAAATAGGTAGAAAATTCAAATAGCACAAATGATCAACAAGACCATGAAGACAAGATCTACAAATAAGCAATAATGGCCTAAATCTTCAGTTGACTCGTTATTTAAGTTAATACCCTTAAATGATAATTTTTAACATTTTTATACATTTTTTGCCTATTATCTTGAAAACTATAATAGATAAAGAGATAACTTTAACAAGGAAAAATTATCAACTGGATAAGATCTACAAATATGTCAACATGACTGAAATTGTCAGTTAACTCTTAATAGAGTTATTCCCCTTTAATGATGATTTTTACTAAAAAGTGGCCACTGTTGAAGATGCAGATGAGCGACACAGAATCATTCTTTAGACTCTAGTTTTTTTTTTATTGAAGCCAAATAAATTCATCCCATTTAATTAAACTTTTCAGAAAATTAATTATGAATCTTTTTGAATATATATGTAAAACAAATTGTAAAATAAGAATAAGGTTACTGTGTACAAATTCTAATGAAGCTACTTAACCACACTCTTAGTTAGGTTGTTCAGTTACACATGTACAAAACATTTTTGTGTGGTGTTGGAAAAAAAGAAATTATTACCAGTGTTGACCACTCTGCATATATCTTTAATATTTTTGAGTCATCACACTGGTCATTGTACATGTGTTGCTGTTTAATTTATGTATACCCCATATCTTTTATATAGAGTTTGTCTTTATTGTTGTCTTTCTCTCTTTTGTTACAAATTACAATTTTACTGTTGAATGTCTTTTCTTTCTTTAAATATCACTATTGATCAGAAACATATTAGATCAATAAAAATATCTAGTGACAAATTCTTTAGATAGGAAATCTATTCCTGTCACAGTGTTGTTATTGCTGACTGTATTCTCCAAAGACTATTCCAAGACCTTTTACTTGACATTTTTCTTTAGACTGTCTTCAGCAACTTATTTTTAGATAGTACTTGTCCTTGAATGTAAACTTTTATACAAGTATCTTACAAACCTTTGGATGGAACAAGGGAATTTAGTTCTAAACCAATCACCAGTCCCCCATTTTCTGAATTCATTATGATACAGACTTTGTTGGATACAAATTTATGGAATTGTTGTTTTGTATACAAATAGAACAAACTCCCTCTATGATATTTATCTCAACTTGTATACAACTTACATATATTAATAGATCAGTAAGTTTTTTTTAGAAGATTGACATAAAAAGTTTTTTTTAGAAATTTGACATAAAAAGGTTGTTTTTTTTCATTTCTGTAAACATACATCTGGTGTTTTGATTATTTGCTTTTATTTAAACTGATTTTCTGTGATAAAAGGTTCATGTATAAATTTAAATGTACAAGAAACTTGGTAAACCAGATAAAATAATTAAGAAATAGTTATATTCTAGTTTCCATAGTAATATTGATAAGAGTTTAGAAAATGTGAGGTCATACAGTAGCCAGCTGCACTTTGTAATCATAGGTCAGTTTGACCTTTTCACACTGGAAATGATATTTAATTGTAGAAATGCATTAATTTCATGTCAGTAATATTTGATCTACTTGAGAAAATCTATTTAAATGTTGATATCTCTCTATCATCAGGCCTGACCACTACTGTAACAGTTGGTGTATTGTTATTTCTTATCTTTTTGTTTTCTTACCATTGATTATTCATTTTTATTTTAGTTTTGATCTTTGAAGTGAGGATTTTCATGGTATCACATATAAAACAAACACAGATGGCATTTTATACATTCCCACCCCCCAAATATACATGTGTATCAGCTGAAAATTAAGGGAGTGTTTTCAGACTTGATCTGTTATTTAATACAGTCGAATCCGCTTAAGATGGATTGTCAGTATATATTTCCTGAGATAGAATTTTCTTATACTTTGCCGAAATGAAGATTTTACTATGCTTTTTTCAAAAATATAATAAAAAGTATCGGTCACCATGCTATTTTTCAAACTAAATGTCGTGTAAAATTGCCAAAATTTGAATAGATTGTTCATGAAAAAAACATTTTTGTGAATAAAAAGAAATCTATGAGATAGAATTTTGAAATAAAATATGAGAAGATAGGTTTTATAATATGCTTTAAGAAAATAAAAAGAAAAAATGGTTTCACCAACTTGTTTTCTTTCTATAAGTAAAAAATGAAAATTTCACTATCATTCCAGTATAAAAATTTTACTATAAGAGTTATCTCCCCTTAAATGGCCAAGTTGGAAAATTGATTCTTAAAAAACACAAAAATTTGTGGCATACAGGTTATATTATTAATAATTATGTCCTCAATCAGCATTAAGGTATCTAGTTTTAAAACATTGTCTAGGGATCTGGCCAGCCAACCAACATGGCTGTAATGGCTGAAAATAGAACATAAGGACAACTTAAGCAAATATGTATATTAAAGGGATTCCTTAAGCAGATATTTATATTACAGGGAGTCCTTGAGCAGATATTTATATTACAGGATCTGAGGATTCCATAGACAAATATATATATTACAGGGATTCCATAGTCAAATATTTATATCACAGGGATTCCATAGTCAAATATTTATATTACAGGGATTCCATAGACAAGCTGAGCCTGAAGGATGACAGCCTTGCCGGAGGTTATCCTGGGGGATATTTACTCCCCCATATGATGCCTAGTCAGATTCCGTCCTCAACAACATCTCCGCACGATGGTCGGATGTTAACGATGCTTGATGGCTCTTTATCATTCACCAATACTCACAAACTCAAGCACGAGATCATGTCCTCTGGTAAGTCTTAGCTGCTTCAGATTGAAGAGGAAAAGGGGAGGGGGAGTCTACTAGTTTATATCTTCATACTTTGGACACATTTCAGTTGTCTGAGAACAAAATAGGCTAGAACCATTATATTTTATTTGAGCTATATAGCTATACGGTGACCTATAGTTGTTAATTTCTGTGACATTTGGTCTCTTGTGGAGAGTTGTATCATTGGCAATCATACCACATTTTCTTTTTTATATGAAAAATTAAAGTTGTTAGCTAGGCTAAAGCTTTCCTTTTTCTTTTTCTGTGTTCAAATGCACATATAGAAATTGTTATATCTTCTGAAAAAATAGTATGCTGGATAGCTGAGACTAGACTTTTTTTAAACATTTTTTTTTCTTTAATTAAGCTGTTTAATCATGGATTTCTAATGCTTGAAAATATAATGACATAAGATGTTTGATTGTTAAAGAGTTGATTATGCTAACAAGGTGACCGTAGACTATAATTATTGTGAAATTTTGCCGCTGTAAATCAATATGTCTGTAAGAAGTGACACAGGTGCACTGTACAACTCTAATCAGGATTAAATGTTTTCATTTCAGGTTCTGGTCACAATAAACTGTGTCAGGTCTGCAGTGATAACGCCTCAGGATTTCACTATGGAGTTTGGTCTTGTGAAGGATGTAAGGCTTTCTTCAAACGCAGTATCCAGGGTAAGTTAATACCAGTATTTTAAGAATTTGACATGAACATACTACAGATAAACCTCCCTACAGCAAACTTTACCAAACCAGTAACCTTTGTAAAGTGAACTCTTGTACCAGGACATACATAAGCTTCAGTACAGCAGAAAATCTATTTAGCTTCAGTACAGGAGAGACTCTCCTTCAGTTCAGCAGAAACTCTCTCTTAAGTTTAGCTGAAATTTTCCCTTCAGTGCAGGTGAGATTCTTCCTTTAGTATAGTAGAAAATCTCCCATCATTCCAGCAGAAAATCTCCCTTCAGTTCAGCAGAAACTCTCCCTGCAGTGTCACTTCTTGGTAAGGGGAATAACTGTCAAATAAGAACTGCTAATGCAGGAAACCAGTGTCATTACATGGAAAGGGGAATAACTATCCAATTAGAACTGCTAATACAGGAAACCAGTGTCACTTCTAGGTAAGGGGAATAACTGTTAAATAAGAACTGCTAATGCAGGAAACCAGTGTAAGGCCATGCATGGTAAGGGCAATAACTGGTCAAATATGAACTGTTAATGTTGTGTCATGGTAAGGGGAATAACTGCTAATGCAGGAAACACGTTGGAAAGGGGAATAACTGGTCAAGTAAGAACTGTTAATGCAGGAAACCAGTGCCACTTCATGGTAAGGGAAGTAACTGGTACACCTGTATTCATTTGTAATTACAGAGTCAATATAGCATTCAGAAAACGACTATTTAAGCCAGATATATGATAGCCAATGTTAAAAAAATGAATAGTAGTTCTACATGTCCATTTTGAACTACATTAGTACATGTTACAATTGATGGGGATGGTTAAATAAGGGTCAACAGTTGACGAACAGGTTACATGAAAATAATCCTTTGACATTTAATACTTGTTTAACCACAGCTTTGCAGAAGACAAGCAAGATAATTGGTTGGTCATTTTCTAAAATTAGCTGATTTATTTTCTTACTATTCATTCTATGCTTTATTCTGATCTCCTTTCTATTAAATCATATACATTTGTATTTTTGTAATGTACTTTAGTATGACGTCCATTATCACTGAACTAGTATACATATTTGTTTAGGGGCCAGCTGAAGGACGCCTCCGGGTGCGGGAGTTTCTCGCTGCATTGAAGACCCATTGGTGGCCTTCAGCTGTTGTCTGCTCTATGGTTGGGTTGTTGTCTCTTTGACACATTCCCCATTTCCATTCTCAATTTTATTTGTTTTATCTTTATCATCCAATTCTGATTGTATTTTTTATGTGGTACCTTAATCGAATAATAAAATATTCTCAAATCCTGTTGATTTGAAGATATTGTCCTGATCAATTAATTATCTATTAAAAGACTCTTTTCAAATTATTGAAATGATTTCAATATTTTTAACTTCACAGACCAAGTCTATTTTTTTTAGGTTCACTTCACTTTGACTGTGATCTTTTTATAATGATACTATTTTCTATAGTTAATAGAGCATAGATAATGTTATTAACGTCATTTGAACTTTATCTTATAACTTTAGAACAATTTTTTTAACCAATATTTTCTGTGTCAGTGAGTGTATGACCTATATTTATTAATAGTGCAAGGTCTATGACCTATATATAATGACATTTAACAATCAATACAAGTCTAGGGTTTGTTTTTGGGAAATCTTATCTTTATTCATGCCTTGGGATGTTCTCTTCCTGACAGTATGTATTTTTAATCTTTCATTTATTCATGCCTTTTGATGTTCTCTGACGGCTTGTTTCTCTAAATGGACTTACATATAACCTGGGACTATTATACTAACATATTCCCAGATATAACATGCAGAAGGTATATATGTGTACCAGATTCCAGTTAATGTTAATGTAATTTTTATTATAATAATAATATTTATTTACAGTCGATGACTTGTATCTGGTGTTTTTCGATCTGATTTACAAAAATTAACTGTGGATGGCTTAACATAATTAGCTGCTAATGTGAAAACCTCTAATTATATCATCCTCAGTATTCTAATATGTGTCCGACATTTTTATTGAAAGAAAACGTTTTGTTTGCAGGACCTGTAGATTATGTTTGTCCAGCTACCAACAGTTGTACTATAGACAAACATAGAAGGAAAAGTTGTCAAGCCTGCAGACTGAGGAAGTGCTACGAAGTCGGCATGAATAAAGGTAAGATTCTAATAGTGTTAATAGTATAGACAAACACTGAAGGAAAAGTTTTCACGCCTGCAGACTTAACAAGCGATAAGAAGTCTGCCTGAATGAAGGTAGTTAATAGCATAGAAAAACACCAAATGAAAAGTTGTCAAGCCTGCAGTCTGAAGAAGTGCTACGAAGTCAGCATGAATAAAGGAAAGACTCTAATAGTGTTACTAGCATAGACAAACAACGAAGGAAAAGTTGTCAAGTCTGCAGACTTATGGAGTGCTACCACATCAGTATGAATATTCAATGGTAAGACTCAAATAGTGTTAACATAAGCAAACACAGAATAAAAAGCTGTCAAGCCTGCAGACTTCAAGGAAGTGCTACAAAGAAGACATGAATAAAGGTAAGACTGTAATAGTGTTAGCATAGACAAGCACAGAAGAAAAAAGTTGTCAAGCCTGCAGACTGAGGAGGTACTCAGTCTGCATGAATGAAGATAAGACTCGAATAGAATTAGCATAGACAAAATGAAAAAATTGTAATGGCACATAGACTTGGATAATTCAGTATACTGTGGATTCATTTATTTTCGTGGGTTCCAATTTTCGTTAATTGAGGAAAACTTGCATTTTCGTGGATACTTGATTTCGTGGTTTTGCCAAAGTCTGCATACAATCTTATAGAAAATTTGTGATTCGTTGAACATTTAAATTTGTGGTTTACCTGTACCCACGAAATCCACGAAAATTGGTACCAAACGAATAATAATGAATCCACAGTAAATGAAAGTAAACATTTTTGAGTTGTACCTAGACAAATGGAAAAAGGTTAATTTTGGACCAAGAAAGTGCTACAAAGTAAGCATGAATAAAAGTTAGATTCTAATTTTTAGTATAGACAAATACTGAAAAGGTTTCAGGTCTGCAGACTGAAAAAGTGCAAAAAAGAAGGTGAGAATAAAGGTTAGATAGTTGTAACCTAGACAAATGAAAAAACAAAAGATTTCAGGCCTCAGAGATATAGAAAATGAAGGGTAAAGGTAAGATTTTAATAGTTCTAGTATAGATAAATATGGAAAAAAAAGTTGTTAGGCCTCAGAGATTTAGAAAATGAAGGGTAAAGGTAAGATTTTAATAGTTCTAGCATATACAAATATGGAAAAAAAAGTTGTTAGGCCTGAGAGACTTACAAAATGAAGGGTAAAGGTAAGATTTTAATACTGAGAGCATTCAAGCTCAGGGTGGCTAGTAGACAGCATTATGGCAGTGTAAGAAAAGAAGTATTTATCCTGCAATCAGCCAACTATTGTACAAAAACAGGTATACAAATAAATTTTTGCTTTATTTAAGTCTCTGTTACCCTGCTTCCATGTTGAGCAAGCGGTAATGTGGATATTTCTTATTGTGTAAAAGGTCATTTTGGGGTCCTCTTCGAGGTCCTCGTTTAAACTATGTCGATGTCTTTCAGAAATCAGAGACAATGATTTGGATTTAAACAACAAATGCTTCAAGTGCCAGGTGTAAATTGCAGGATAAAAACAATATATTTACATTGTCAGAAATATAAAATGTATTCGTATTCACTAAAAAACAGGAGACAAGCTCAGCGAGCCTTGCTTTTTTTTCCTGTTTCTAAAGCTCGTACAAATAAATTTTATATTTTCCGACAATGTACATATACTATATATTTATCTGTAAGTTGTCCATTGACAGAAATGTAATAACGAATGGACTTATTTGGTCAACATCAGCATTCCTGTACACTCTATAATGCCTTTTAAGCAAATCTAAATATAGATCTATTTTTTATACTTTGAATGAATTCATTAATTATCTTGGGGGGGAAATCAATATCTGAAGTTCTAAATTGAGTTTAGATTACAAGAAGTTGAATAACCTAAAGGACACATATATATGGAGCAATGACTTTTAGGACATATCATTGTCTCAAGGTAGTTGTCATTTAAGGAAGAAATTGTAAAACATATGAAGTTTACCTTTTAAATCTCATATTTGGAAATTGGATATATTAGATTTTATTTCTTTACTTAGCATTTTTAAATTTGGAAAGTTGTATTCAGCGATAACAATTACATTCAACTTTAGAATTGATTTATTTCATGGTTACTCTACTGTGTAAAGTAATTATTTTGATAAAAAAAATCAATTCATAAAAATGAGGAACTATTTTAATTTGCAATAGAATTGAATGCAATATATATTTTTTATGTTTTTTTGTGTATTGGAACTTTGCCAGAGGTCATTGACACCAAGGATCAATATCTGTATGGCTCTATACCTACGCAGGACAGTGACCCAAACTCTTACGAAGTATTACGTCCTGCATAAATTATCTTTCTTGTATATATACCCACATAATTATCATACCTGAAAAAACATTATTTTGGGACAAAACTGTAAAGTTGGATTAATTGTGACTTTTGTTCCAGTACATATTTATTAATAAAGGAAATTACTTATTCATTAATTTGGTAAGTTTTGTTATAACTTTTATTAACAATTAAATTATGATTTTATACACAGATAAATTATTCACACCTTTATCATGTTTATATACCAAAGGGCTAAAGTTTGTAAAATTAAAAGAATTTAATAAGTGTACCAAAAATAAGGAGATTTTGAGTATTGTATAGGCAATTGCATTTTGTTGGTCAGTGGTATTTACTGACACCATAGTACAATGTACATCAACTGCCTATACTATTTACCATATCATGGGACAACTTTGAGGGGTTACAAATTTCTCTCAGAATATATTGCACCAGCCTTATGTATCTTGTCAGTTTTACAGTCCTCTATAAAGGCATTTTTGATATCCAAATGACAGCTTACAGTAACTTGCAATGGATGGGGTCCACGGGTGCCACCCAAATACATAAGGTCCTCTAGGTATAAAATGAAAGGAGTAGGGGCAATAAGGCCCTTATTTGGCACAAATATTAGTACAATTTGAAAAGTTTTCATATATATATATATATATATTCTTAAACTTGTCCTAACTCCACTTAGGTACACTGTGTTCAGAAAATAAAAACACAAATTTCATAGGCAACAAACCATGACAAAATTTGTATATTTTGTAAAATTTCTTGATTTTTCTTGTTTAACGTCAACTTTTAAGTATATGTTAGGTTGGAAAAGTATGTGCGCACCCAAGAAACAACTCTATATTTGGTGAGAATATGTCAATAGTTATTATAAAGCTTCTTTTGGACTGTTTTGTTGTTTCTTGCTCAAGATGTTTCCTTAAACGAAACATAAAAAACCTTATGAAATTCATTTATATTTCTTGATTTAACGCATTTTTAAACATTATGTGCAAATTTGAAATAGTTCCCAATAATTTATTTTTTCTTGGTCCTTAACAGAGCCTTAATGCCCTGCCCCTACTCCTTTGTTAAAAGCTATGTCATCTTATAAGTATTAAAGTTTTATGAAACTTTATGAAATTGATTAAAGCTGCCAGTAGTTGATTGCTATCAATATAAGTTAAACTCATTGTTTTCACTAAAATATAAAAGGAAATGCAAAATAAACATTTTAATGAATGTAGAATTCATGAAATCTTAAAGAAAATATGTATTGTGTTAGATATGTCTGTATGCTCTAATTTTCTTTGAGATAAAAGCTTTAAAAAAATTACTAAAAAATAACAGAAAAATGATGTCTCAAGCTAGGAAATGTTTTAAAACAAATTAAATGAATTACATATAGCAAACTCTTTCTGTAGTAGAAATGACAGGAATATGAACGTTTTATCAAACACATACTGTAAACCAACTAATTTTCATGAGTGATTTATTTTTCGCGACTTTTGCGAGTAGAAAAATAACGTGAATAGAAATCGTCGCAAATATATATGTAAAACTTGGATCTTTCCTTATTTAACTACATCAAGTAATTAAATAATTGCGGAATTATATCGCCTCAAAGTGGACTAGAAAGTGCTAAACATGAAAAAAAGTATCTGCGAAAATAAGTTGGTTTACAGTATTTTAAAAATGTAAGTTTTTCAAAATAAGGTTAATATAAGGGTTGCTGAGAAATACATTTTAATACATTGCTAAGGAAAATTACGAAGGAGATACTGGTGTATAGTGTTATTATACGACCGCAAAAAAATTTTGTGGTCGTATATTGGTATGACGTTGGCGTCGTCGTCGTCGTCGTCCGGCGTCGTCGGCGTCGTCCGGCGTCGTCGTCCGAAGACACATTGGTTTTCGCACTCTAACTTTAGTTTAAGTGAATGGATCTTTTTGAAATTTTACCATAAGGTTAAATACCACAAAAGGAAGGTTGGGATTGATTTTGGGGGTTATGGTACCAACAGTTAAGGAATTAGGGGCCAAAAAGGGGCCAAAAATAAGCATTTTCTAGTTTCCAGACAATAACTGTGGAACGGTGTATGGATCTCTCTGAAATTATACTACAAGTTTCCATACCACAAAGGGATGGTTAGGATTTGCTTTGGGGGGTTATGGCTCAAACCATTTAGGAATTAGGGGCAAAAAAGGGGGAAAAACAAGGTTGTCCTGGTTAATGGACAAATACTTTAGTACAAAACATAATTTAAAGCAGTGTAAGGGAGATAAATCAAATACATCATTGAAATTATCTCCCTTACACTGCTTTTAAATTATGTATAAAGTAATGGTTAATGAACAATAAAGATAATTTAAAACAGTGTAAGGGAGGTAATCCAAATACAACGTTTTGGTTACTTCCCTTACACTGCTTTTAAATTATGTTTAAAGAAATACATATTTATAAAGGAAGACCAGTAAAAATATCTGCAAATGTTGCATCTTTTTTTTTTACAAAAAAATCCATATGAAAGATTTGACACTATATTTTTAATTCTATTATAAAATAGATTAAGTTAGCACTATGGTAAATTTAAATGGGTAATTATGGTTGCCAACTCCATTGGAAATTTGAATTGAGATTATAACCATATCTTGAGGGAAAGAATTTTTTGGGGGAAAAAAGGGGGGGGGGGGGGGGATAAAAAGAAATTGTGGGGGGTCAATTTTTTCTCATTTCAGATTTCAGAAATTAAAAAGAATTATTCTTCAAATATTTTTTTTTTTTTCAAATTTCAAATATTGAAAAATTTCAAGAAGTAATCTTTAATTGCACAGTATGGCGCATTAGATTTGTAAAATCTTTGATCACATTTATTTATTTGTTATGCCGAATCTAACAGTGTATATAGATTTTTAATTTTGGGTCCAGTTTTCAAATTGGTCTACATTAAGGTCCAAAGGGTCCAAAATTTAACTTTGTTTGATTTTAGCAAAAATTGAATACATGAGGTTCTTTGATATGCTGAATCTAAACATGTATTTAGATTTTTGATTTTTGGCCCAGTTTTCAAGTTGGTCCAAATTGGGGTCCAAAATTAAACTTTGTTTGATTTCAACAAAAATTGAATATATGGGGTTCTTTGATATGCTGAATCTAACCATGTATTTAGATTTTTTATTTGTGGACCCCGTTATCAAATTGGTTCATATTGAGGTCAAAAGGGTCCAAAATTAAACTTTGTTTGATTTCATCTAAAATTGAATTATTGGAGTTCTTTGATATTCCAAATCTAACCGTTTATTTAGATTTTTAATTTTGGGTCCTGTTTTTTAAATTGGTCTACATTAAGGTCCAAAGGGTCCAAAATTAAACTTAGTTTGATTTTAACAAAAATTGAATTCTTGGGGTTCTTTGATATGCTGAATCTAAACATGTGTTTAGATTTTTGATTATGGGTCCAGTTTTCAAGTTGGTCCAAGATAGGGTCCAGTATTTAAACTTTATTTGATTTCAACAAAAATTGAATATATGGGGTTCTTTGATATGCTGAATCTAAACATGTATTTAGATTTTTGATTATGGGCCCTGTTTTCAAGTTGGTCCAAATTGGGGTCCAAAATTAAACTTTGTTTGATTTCAACAAAAATTGAATATATGAGGTTCTTTGATATGCTGAATCTAACCATGTATTTAGATTTTTTATTTGTGGGCCCCGCTATCAAATTGGTTCATATTGAGGTCAAAAGGGTCTAAAATTAAACTTTGTTTGATTTCATCAAAAATTGAATTATTGGGGTTCTTTGATATGCCAAATCTAACCGTGTTTTTAGATTTTTAATTTGGGTCCCATTTTTTAAAATTGGTCTTCATTGAGGTCCAAAGGGTCCAAAATTAAACTTAGTTTGATTTTAACAAAAATTGAATTCTTAGGGTTCTTTGATATGCTAAATCTAAACATGTGTTTAGATTTTTGATTATGGGCCCAGTTTTCAAGTTGGTCCAAGTTGGGGTCCAAAATTAAACTTTTTTTGATTTCAACAAAAATTGAATATATGGGGTTCTTTGATATGCTGAAACTTACCATGAATTTAGATTTTTTATTTGTGGGCCCCGCTATCAAATTGGTTCATATTGAGGTCAAAAGGGTCCAAAATTAAACTTTGTTTGATTTCATCAAAAATTGAATTATTGGGGTTCTTTGATATTCCAAATCTAACTGTGTATTTAGATTTTTAATTTTAAGTCCCGTTTTTTAAATTGGTCTACATTAAGGTCCAAAGGGTCCAAAATTAAACTTAGTTTGATTTTAGCAAAAATTGAATTATTGGGGTTCTTTGATATGCTGAATCTAAACATGTGTTTAGATTTTTGATTATGGGCCCAGTTTTCAAGTTTGTCCAAGTTGGGGTCCAAAATTAAACTTTGTTTGATTTCAACAAAAATTGAAAATATGGGGTTCTTTGATATGCTGAATCTAACCATGTATTTTGATTTTGGACATTGGACCATAATAGGTAAATTAAAAAAATTCAAGTTCTTAGACCACATTCTTTCTGTGTCAGAAACCTATGCTGTGTCAAATATTTAATAACAATCCAAATTCAGAGCTGTATCAAGCTTGAATGTTGTGTCCATACTTGCCCCAACTGTTCAGGGTTCGACCTCTGCGGTCGTATCAAGCTGCGCCCCAGCGAAGCATTTTATAAAAATTGTACAGGAGTCAATTAGTTATGTTTTTCATTATTTTGTTGTAGGAACACAAAGAAAAGAAAGGAAGTCAAGTGCTAATAGTAAACTTCCAGCAAAAAGAAGTCGAGCAGATTCTACTGATAATATAGTCAACTCTACAAGTGGCAGTCCTAATCCAGCTAAAGTAAGTATTCATCAAAATGTATACATAAACAGGTTACCTCTGACAAGAAGGAAGGGACACCATTTCCTTTAATAAAAATAACAACTCTACAAGTCAGCGTTCTAATCTAGCTAAAAGCCTGTATTGATTCAAATATAATTAGTAAGAAGCCTTTGATGGCAACTCCCTTCATTCATGTTATCGAATAGTCAATTAATATAAAAATAAGGAGATGTAGTATAATTGCCAATTAGACAACTATCCGCCAGAGTTCAAAAGAAGTAGATGTAATTAATTATAGGCCACTGTAAGGCCTTTAACAATGAGAAAAACCCATATGAAAAATAAATATGACAGGCATGAACCAACAACAACCACTGAATTACAGACTCCTGTCTTGGGACAGGTACATAAAGACAACTAATATAAGATAATAGTTTATATTTATTCAAGAAGAAAATGATCTATTCTTTAATTTGGTAGGTTTGTTACAACTTTTATTAACAATTATATTAATATTTTATACATAGATAAAAGATTCACACCTTTATATACCAAAGGGTTAAAGTTTAAACTAATAAAAATCACCCTGACTGTTACAAAGTAAAGGACAAAGAATGCAAGCAATTAACATGGAGTTATATATAGACATAAATGACTTTTGTAATGTTTTTATTCTGATATTGAAAACTGGGTTAAATCCAGGTAAAGATATCAGTACACATGTACCTGTAAACAAAATTTAGATTTTTAGAATTATTTTTTTTAAATATTGAGCCTTTGATAAGCAGATAGAAGATTTGTAAGTTTTGAATATGGAAAGTGAAACCATGAAAGAGGGTCGTAATGGGGGTACCTTCATGACTAATAATTGTTAAAATTCTTGCCATATGACGTTAACGGTAATTTTTGGTGCATGACAATAAAATGTACACTTTCTTTTAGACAATAAAAAAATCGACTGATTTTGACGAATCACACTAATTTTTTTCCAAAATTAACAGTAATGATAATTATTTGAGACCTCTGACGAATCATGATAAGGATATTTTGACAAATCACGGTAAAATTTTAACCAATTTGACGCTAACGGTAGCCGAAAATTACTGTTTGACGCCTGACTGTAAAGGGCATTCACACCCTCAAGAAAGAAAAGCTTCTATAAGCTTTAGATCATTTCTGACTTATTGCTATAAGACAGTAAAGTTTATGTTGGTATGTAGATCTATATATAATATTGATTTCAGAGTCCAAGAAGGTCAGAGACCTCAGCCATATTAGACGCTCTATCTAAAGCAGACATGCCGATCGTAGAAAGTTACCACAATCATAACATGCCACCATCCAGAACACATTTGTTAAATTCTCTGGTTAAACTGGCAGAAAGGGAATTGGTCCAACTGATTAACTGGGCTAAAAATGTTCCAGGTAAGTGTGATGGGAGTGAAGTGTCCAGACATCTTTTATTATGTTATTTGATATTACTGGTTAACATTTAGTCTGAAGGTGTAATACCACCAAATCATAGTACGTCACATCCGGTTGCATACGAAAATAGGTTGAAAAAAAATATTCCCTTGAATTTGACAGTTGTAGGTAATTGATCCTACATTTCATTGCAGTAAAACATTTCTGGGTCATAAACATATATCTTGGGTATTTTAAAGCACCATTATTTTTTTATTTGGGGTTTAAATAGAATATTTTGGAAACTTGAGGTTACATGGTTACTAAAGCTTGTATACAGGTTAAAAAAGGGGGAAAATTTGATTGGTTAACTTCCAGTGATGGTTATTTTCTCATATGCAATGAAATGTTATGTGAATTTTTTTCTATAGTACTGGACAGGATAAAACTTTACTCATGCCAAGTATTTCTTTATTTGAAACAAAGATAAATTCTGCAAAATTTTTTGAAAAGTGCAAATTTAACAAAGACTAATAGGGGAAAATCAATGGTGGTATTACACCTGAAAACTATTGTGACGATAATAGGATCAATAAGCCTTAAATTTTATGGGTCATTAACTTTAAGATGACAAAAATACTTAATTTAATTTCAATCAATGATAACAAATGGAAGGAAGATTTAATTTGGGAATTATCATAAAATATCTGGATGTCTATTTGTTACACTCGCAACAACATATATTTATACTCAATCTTTTACATAAAGAAACAAAATTCTAATGTATAGTCTTTTATCTTTCTACATGTTCTATAGTTTATGTAATCAAATGTTTTCAATAATACTTCATCCATACAATGGATAAAAATTAGAAATTATTAGCCCTTGAAAATATTTTTACAACCAAACTTTTACAGATGGTGTTTCAAAAATTAAATGTGCAGTGGATAGCATAACAACAATATTCCAGATAATTATATGTTGATGTGATATGAATATTTCTGTCCAAATAATTTAAAGTAAGATATGACGTACTCCTGGGCACATTATTCTGATCATGAATCCAACCAGTCTCTATTCTTACTTCTAAATACTGCTTTCTTAATAGAGAATCAACAAATACCAATGTTAAATTTTGGCTTAAATTCGCCTTTCCAGAATCTAAAGGACTATGGGTAATCTCATTGTTTGTACACACAAATGAAAAATATATCCCAGAATGCATTAGATTCTGAAAAGGTGAAAAGGTTAAGGACCATAATTTAAGACCACACTATTTGCTATATAAGACAGCTTCTACCAAAGAATATATAACAGTGTTAAGATTTGTATATACTATTTCAGGTTATATTGATCTATCATTGAGTGATCAGGTCCATTTAATTGAATGCTGTTGGATGGAATTACTCTTACTCAACTGTACCTTCAGATCTATGAGTTACAATGGAAAGAGACTGGTGTTTGCTCCAGATTTTGTTCTTGACAGGTGAGTTTTAATCATTTGTGATTTTGGGGATCAAAGCAGTTATCAGTTGGAGGGAGTTGTTTTTTTCTGCAATATTACTTCATATCTATGAGTTACGATGGCAAGAGACACCATTTATTTCAAAATTTGCTTAGTTTATACTGAAGAGTGAAAATTTCCTTAAGTTTGATAAAGATTTTATTGGATTGGATGCATTTATTTTATTCTCCAACATAACTGTATTTCTAAAAATTTGGAAACTTTGTAAAATTTAATTTTTAAAACATTGCAGCATGTATAATCTAGAAATTATTTTACTTTAAGATCACACTGGGAAATGATGGGGATGACAGAAGTGTTTGAGCAAGTCAGTGCTGTGTCAGAGAACTTTATACAATATCAACTACACAAAAATGAGTCTCTACTGTTACAAGCTACAGTCTTAGTCAATGCAGGTAAGTCAATGTCTACACATAATCCAGGTTTTACTAGCTACAGTCTTAGTCAATGTCTACACATAATCCTGGACTTGCGGTCATAAAAATTTGGATTACGATTATTGTACTCAAACTCAGAATTCAGCCAATCAAAATGCTGGATTTGGTGTTTTGAGCACAAATTTGGTACTTCAAATTTTTTACCTGAGAGCCAAGGTTTAAAGTTTATCTTAGTAATTCAAATGCAGAAAATATGAAAGAATGTTACTCCAAGATGTCAAGTCTTCTTACATCTTCCCAAGTGGCAAATATTTCATGCATATACAGGATGAGTAAAATATAGATATGATATAGTATGAATTATATACAGCTTGTAAATTATTCATTGTATATCCTATAGATTTTTAAACAGTTTAGTTCGCTAGTTCAGATGTAAAGCACTAAGATCATACACCAAAATGGATATGATGTCACATTATTGGTTGAATTTCTATTGTTTAGGATGATATTAGCCAATCACAACATTTTGGTGTCCACTTTTGAAAATATTACCCACAATGCATTGAATGCTGAAACCATGATTTATATCAAGAGGATATTTTTTCAATATAGATAATTGATGAATCCATGTTATATTTTACAGAAGTCAGGAGACTAACAAGTTGTGATAAAATACATAGAATGAGACAGTCGATTCTAGACGCAGTGGTGGATACAGCACAGAAATACCATCCTGACAATCTACGACACGTTCCTTCAATATTACTCATGTTAACTCATATCAGACAAGCAGGCGAAAGGGCAATAGCTTATTTCCAAAAACTTAAACAAGAAGGTTCTGTCACTTTCTCTGATCTTTTAAAGGAAATGTTAGACTCTCAGGACTACACTGAAATCAAAACGGAAAATCCAACAACATGAAATCGTTGATGTTCAAAACATCGTGGAATGAACAAAAAGTGCCCTCAGGGCCAAATAAATATCAGCTCCAAGTGATCAAGACAACAGCACTGATGTTGTTGTTATTGTTGTCTTAACAGTGGCTGTTGTCATGACAACATCATCATAACATCAAAGGTATCTCATTGTACCTCTAAATGTGAATGTCTATACCAAACTTCTATCGTTGGGATCGGTTAACAGCTATGGAACATATGCGGAGATGATCATTCTGTTAACAACATCAGTCTCCGTGAAAAACAGTAGTAAAATCATCCTCAAAGGATCAAATATTCAATTCATTATCATCAATGTCTTTTGTATATGTACCTTCCATATGTCTACCTCATATTTATATCATATCTGCCTCATTTGTTGTATATTACCTCAAAATATCTACCTCAAAGTTAGAGGATTGAAAGATATTTAGAATTTAGTAATATTCACAGGGATACAAGAAGCCCCTAAAGGATCCCGAAAGGTCTTAAGAATGTTAAAATGGAGCATTTTCAGATCCTTGTTAGCGAAATGTGGATGCAAGATCTGTTTTTCATTCAGACTGTGATTTTTGTAGCTTAATGTGATCATTCTTATTGAAATCAGAATAATATTACTTTATATTAATTTGAAATGATTTCTCGTCATAAATGTTTTTCACACATTTTATATAACTTCAAAATATCAAATCAAATGTGTTATTGTTTTGACTAGGCAAAAGATAATTTTACATATTTTTATAATTTAAAGATGTATTATATATTCTGTAGAAGATGTTAACCACATGACAAAATAGGACTAAGTAAAATAATACAATGTATTTTCTAGTTTTGATATGTAGGGAATTTTTTAGTTTAGTCAATAAAAGGAATTTCATTGTTTCCATGGTAAAATGATGAAAACGAAACTTTTTGTGATATTCTTGTACTGTTAAAGTGTTGAAAGCCCTAAGAATTATTTACATATGCATTAAATGTTTGAAGTATATATGGGACTGCGGTTAAAAATAGAAAGAATGGCTTTATAACATGTTCAAAAATCTTAATTTGAATTATTAAATTTAATTGATAAATGTTTTAATTTAATTATACATTTTGTACAACAAATTATCACATGTTTCTACTAGGGCATACAGTTGATAAATATGCTAACATATGTTTCCTGTTTCATTAATGAAAGTTTTATAAAATAATTTCTAAGAATTTTTCTTCCTTGGTATCTTTTGTTTGTGGTTTGTGAAAACATTGTTGGTTCGTGGGGTTTTAAATTGATGTTTTCTGATTAACAAATTAGAACCAATGGAAAATGTTTTCCTACTAGTATGTAGATGCTAAATTTCTTTGTTTATAGGGAACCAGAAAATCCATGAAAACTGGTACCCATGAACAATAATGCTTTCACAGTATATAGATGTGCAATATGGATGATCTCATTTATATTTAGTTACAATCAAAACAAAATCATTTATAAAAGACTCATTAATAACAAATTTATTTCATATGATGATAAATAAGTAAATATAGGAAAACTCACGTCTATTAAGACTTATTTCCGGTTTATTTCATTTTCTAAATTTTTAAAAACCTCAGTTTCATTGACACTGAGGATGTTTATTTGTTTGATAAAATTCAACATTATCATTTTTCGCGTTTGCTTAAGAAAATATTTAAGTTGCTAGACAAGTCTATTGAAGATTTTTCTCAGAAAGGGAGACGACTCTAACTTGTTTAAAAAACAAGAGAGACAACTCTTTCAAATTTCAAAAATTGGTAAAACTAGAGTGGACTATTTATATGAATTTGCTTAAATGATTTACATATGAAAAAGCTACTGAATCATATTTTTTTTGACGATATGTTATTGATATATTAGTGCTTTGTTTAACTTGTCAATGTATTGTGTACTGTTGATATTTTAGTTGTTAACTCTGTGCTTTTTACTTTTTACCCAAGGTAAAACTTTTATCCCTGTTTTCAATATTTCTGTTGTCAAGTCATACATTTTATGTTTATTAAACATGTTAAATTGACATTTAAAAAATAATATAGTGGTTAATTTTTTCCACCTTATTTTACACTTTTAAAATAAAATAACTTATGGCTGAGACTATTATGGGGTCTGGGACGTTAGTATAATAGTCCCAGCTTATGGTAAGGTTATCATACAATTGTAATTAAGGATAAGGTTATAAGGCTTTTTTTCTGACGTTGTTTACAGTATTGAGCTAGAGTAACTTGAAAAAGTTCATGATGCTCAACCAAATCTGATAACATTTGCAATTTACACATACCAAAAGCTCCTTATTCTACCAACTCCTTTGACTTAAGATCATAAATTATACTTCCAACAGTTTTTTTTAAAAACATGATTTACTACTCAAGTTACATGTAAATTGAGTTGACAGATATGTACTTAGGTTCCTGTTTAAAACTCGAAAAACCACATATTCAGATTTAGTTCACAGTAGGTTATATTTTATCCTAAGACGACAAGTTAAAACTTCTGACTCTATATTTACACAGTGAAAAGAAAAAGCACATGTAGAAAAGTAGAAATACAGTAATAGTTTGTTATGTACATGTATGTCATAGGGATAGACTTCTACACTACAATAGTTTGTTATGTAGATGTATGTTATGTAGATGTATGTAATATACATATATGTAATGTACATGTATGTAATGTACATGTATGTAATGTACATGTATGTAATGTACATGTATGTTATGGGGATAGACTTGTACAACACAGTAGTTTGTTTTGTACATGTATGTAATGTAGATGTATGTAATATACATATATGTAATGTACATTTATGTTATGGGATAGACTTATACAACACAGTAGATTGCTATGTACATGTATGTAATGTACATGTATGTTATGTACATGTATGTTATGGGAAAAGACTAATACAACACTGAAGTTTGTTATGTACATGTATGTAATGTACATGTATGTTATGTGGAAAGACTTGTACAACACAGTAGTTTGTTATGTACATGTATGTAATGTACATGTATGTTATGTGGAAAGACTTGTACAACACTGTAGTATGTTATGTACATGTATGTAATGTACATGTATGTTATGTACATGTATGTTATGGGGATAGATTTGAAAGTTGAACAGTATTTTTGATGAAGATAAGATATTGCAGTATTGGTGCTTAAAATTAATGATTATTATGCAGTTATTTTTATTTCTTTCTTTTTGGTATTTGGTGCAGTAAAGTGCTGATTTTTTTTGCCATGTATGTTGACTAGTGTTTGGTGCAACTAGGACTCTTCCAGAGTATAATGTTTTACAGAAATGAGGGTCTAGACTGGGTTTTCAGAATAGAGAATAATGGACCAATACTACAGAATAATTGGCCAGAAAAGTAACGAATAGAGAATAATGGGGTGTTAAAATATAAAGAATAAGAGAAAAATGGCTTAAAAATTTTAAGAATACACAATTGAGGGACTCCCATCCAGGTCCTCAGAAATTTGCAGTAATTTGGTGTTCAAATCATTTTGTTATACTCTAATAGAACCTTCAGAACAGAATATGCTGACATGCTCATAAGCATTGTTTGATAGAGAATAGAAAATAGCACCACTTCTCTTAGAAATAAGAATAGGTTCCATAGATGCGTGTGTCATTTTAAACCCAGGACAACATTTGAGTATGTTGGGGTTATGTCATGAAAGGTTTTATATTATATACACGAGGCAGACCATTTCAACAAACTAAAAGGCATTGAAATGATGATTTATATTCTTAAATATTTTCTTACATGAAATTATTTAAATGTTTATTAAAAACTCTGATATTTTATATTTTAGTGGGTATGACTGATTTCTTAAGTTGATGAAATTTGTTTATGATATCATGGAGCTGATACAGCACTGTGATACTTGAATATAAAACAACTTAGAGATGGAAATGGAGGGTATATGTTAATTGTTTCTTAAGTAACAGGATGTTCAAATAAGGATCTTCTCTGCGTGTATAACACGTTTTGTATGTTTGTAAAATACCCGTCTTTGTTGATAATTAATAAACTGTATATTGTTTTGTCATTTTGTTGCAAAAAATTGTTTTTATGAAAGTTGCAGAATAAAATGTAGCAACGTAAAATGAATGTAGACAATTTGAAATTAAAGAGATGGAAAAACAAATTATATTTTTGTTGTTTTGATTTGTAAAAAAAAGGAAATACAAATGTAGAACACTCTGAGTTAGTTTCACTTTGAACAAATAATGACTGTATGTCCCTGTGGCAGTCTGCCCCATTGTCATTGTCTGTCATATGTCCACTGTCCTTGACCTCAATTTCATGGTTCAGCAACTGCTTGAAAAATAAATTTGAGTTTTTGTGTTATGTGAATTTCTCTCATATTATGAGTAATAGGATAACTATATTTGGTATGCTGGGTTCCTTGCAACCTCTACATGTCCGTCAGACAGATTTCACCCGATCTCGACCTCATTTCATGGATCAGTGATCAAGGTTAAAGTTTTGTGGTCAAGTCCGTATCTCAGATAATATAAGAAATAGGTCAACTACTAGTATATTTGATCAGAGACATATAATAAGTATTATATGTCTCTGATTTGATGTATGGAATGGTTTTAAGGTGTACATGTCCCGACTGGCAGGTTTATAAGACATCTTATACGTTTAATTTATATCTGGAGCTGGCATGTCAGTAACTGCTAGTAGTCCTTTGTTCATTTATGTATCATTGTCATTTTGCTTAGTTTCTTTTGTTACCTATTCTGACATCGGACTCAGACTTCTTTTAAACTGAGTTTTACTGTGCGTATTGCTATGTGTTTCTTTATTCTACATTGGCTAGAGGTATAGGGGGAGGGTTGAGATATCACAAAAAATGTTTAACCCCGCCGCATTTTTGCGCCTGTCCCAAGTCAGGAGGCTCTGGCCTTTGTTAGTCTAGTATGGTTTTTAATTTTAGTTCATTTATATGTTTTGGAGTTTAGTGTGACGTCCATTTTCACTGAACTAGCACACAATTTTATTTAGGGGCCAGCTGAGGACCACCTCCGGGTGCGGGATTTTCTTGCTGCTTTGAAGACCCATTGGTGGCCTTCGGCTGTTGTCTGCTCTTTGGTCGGGTTGTTGTCTCTTTGACATATTCCCCATTTCCATTCTCAATTTTATTCTTCTGACCAAGTTGATCTTAATTTCATGGAACATCATCAATGTTTAGTTTTTGTTGTTTGGTCTATTTCTCAGATACTATTAGCAATAGGGTCACTATATTTGGTGTATGGAATGATTGTAAGGTGTACATGTCTGTCTGGCAGGTTTTTTCTGTCCGTGACCTCATTTTCATGGATCATTGGTCAATGTTGATTTTTCATGGTTTTGTCAGTTAAGCAGATACTATAAGCAGTAGGTCAACTATATTTGGAGTATGGGATGATCAGAAGGTGAACATGTCTGTCTGGTAAGGTCCATCTGACTTTGACCTCATTTGCATGGTTCATTGGTCAATGAAGATTTTGTCATTGTTTTGTCAGTTTATCGGGTATTTTATTAAGCAATAGGTCAACTATATTTGGTGCATGGAATGATTGTAAGGTGTCTGTCTGCCAGGGTTCATCAGACCTTCATCATTAGTATTCAATTATGATTAAAAAAATAAGCAGAAGAGACATTTCAGCGTGTGCGCTCGTGTGTTATAAACCCTACAGTTTTCACCCCTAGAGACTTGAAACCTAAAAGAAAGTATATACATCTTATATACACACGTCTGGCGTATAAAATTATAAACCTTTACCTTTGATATGTAGTCCTTGGTTTTCGAAAATATTCACAGATACCAAAAGGACAATCAAAATTTGTTATAGACAGATAAAATTAACAAAAAGTCAAAAACAAACTAGATTAATTAACCTGGATCAACCATAAAACTAATAATGAAATCAGGTATAAAAAATTGTGGTCGTATAAAAATCTTTACTAACTTTTTTTCTTCAGAAACCTGAAATCCACGAGTTTAAGAACCCACGAATGTGCAACTTTTCCTGAAACCACGAAAATTGATATCCACGAATAAAAGTACTTTCTAAGTAAACATGTACTTTGTATTCACATTTTAATTAAAATTTTAGGTAATCCAGCTAGATGGTAAAACCTAGTTTATTTATTCAACAAGAATTAAAGCATAAGTTGGTCATAAGCTAATGAGACAGCAACTCAACAACACAAAAGACAATCTAGAGGGCAACATAATCTAGAGGGCGACATAATCTTGAACAATATTTTTGGGGATTCCTTTTATCTTTATATGTAGAAAAGCGCCTCGGACGCATGCAATTTATAACGTGTTGTTTTCATTTTTTAAGAGGGCGAACTTTTTTCAAAAGCATTTCCAACGAAGGCATCCATTTTGTGCAGTCAATTATTTCTAGTTTTCAACCCAGGGTTGCAGGCTTGTTTGTAAAATATTGAACTTACAGTCCATTCAGCTTCGAGTATATTGAACTATATGTTAACTACATGTAAACATGTCACCAACCTCTACTAGGATGTTTATTGAGATGATTTATTGACCATAATAACTTAAGAAGGCCATCGTATTGCCATGAGGTTATAAGAGGTTTGGTGTTATATATCATTACACAAACAGACCATCTATCATTACTGGTAACTTCCCAGTTCATATATAAACTGATCAAAGATACCACACTTTTAATTTTATACGCCAGACGTGCATTTCGTCTACAAAAGACTTGTCAGTGCTCGAATGAAAAAAATGAAATGCCGGTGAACAACGCAATACACCATACTCAAGGTCCTCTTTGGTACCTTTCATAGCAGAAATAGAAATTAACGCATTCCTGGAATATTTGGCTACATGTGTCTTTAAAAAATGTTTGGTCTTCCATAGCTCTACTTACATTTTCATAAATTTCGACAGTTCCCAAAGCAGTCAAGAGCAAATTTCATAGATTTCCATCAAAAATTTGACCACACTGGACTAAGTCAGTAAGTACGAAAGACAATTGTTAAACTGAACTACTACTAATATTTTACAATTTTACTGCACCAGATTTACATTTCGACAATCAATGTCTCTTCGGTCATGCGCAACTTTCAAAGAAAATCTGTCGGTGTGCATTTTGATTAAATAGAAAATATATGTTGGTGTTGCTTTTCTGTTGGCACACAATATATGTATAAATTTATATAAATTACCAATACGATGACACAATGATTCGATATCATATATTTATGCTCATTATTTTGTGTAAAAAAGGGGGAGCAGATTTCAAAGAGCAACAAAAAGCATAAATCGATTTTACATGGTGACGTGATCGAGGTACATGAAATAAAGTTTTGTAAATCTGCATTGGATTGACATACAGTGTAAAACACATACTTATAAAAAGGAGTGAACATTACAAAATAAATTTGGTATCGTTTGGACCACCATGAAATAACTTTGGTACATAATGAAATAGCTTGTGTACCTTTAGCACATCATGAAATGATAATGGTACAGCGTAAAGTAAATTTATAAAAACAGGAAGATGTGGTATGATTTCCAATGAGTCAATTCTCCACCAGAGATCAAATGACGTAGAAGTTCCATTATGAAGAAATTTTGGTACACTGTGAAGTAACTTATATCATGAAGTACTTTTGGTACACCATGAATAAATTGTGTTACATAATGAAAAAATGTCGGAAGATTTATTTATGTGAACCGATGCGATTTTTTCTCAAGGTGTGGCAACATTGTTAAAAAGGCAAACTATGGATTAAAGATTGACAATTTTTTATTCAATTCTTTCAAAAGTTCTTGCACTTTTCGACATTTAAATTTTCCAGGAGGGGATGCGAACTACAATGAGACGATTCTAAATGGTTTCACTTTTGATCATAGACATTTCATAATTATTCTATTTTATTCAAAACTGAAGCGTTTAATAAAAAATTGTGGGAGATTTATAAATCCTGGTTTGATTGAACATCTTAAATCTAGCTAGAGTTTCAAAAATAAACTATGATTGAATTTTAAATGTAATATGTTTTTGAAAGGGAAGGCTGTACCATTAACATAAGTTGATCTAACTCAGACCGACGTTATAAGTACTCTATAATAATAACGTGTGGGGCATTCATCACAAAACCGTTTAAGTTTAATTGAAAAATCCACTGAAAAACACATATAAAATTTAACAAAAACCCTGTCGCGTCACCTGTGTATTCAAGACATCTTAAATTATGCTTGACCACGCTAGTCTAGAGTGTATGATTAGTTATCGATTAAAGATGTCGTGGCCTTCATAGTTTCTATAACATTTGAACTCCATTTGACCTGAATTTGTTATCTACAAACGCAGAAGCGGTTTGCCAAAATAAAAAGAAAAGGAAAGGAAAATGACAAATTTATTGATTCCGACATTTCATCTCAGACTATATACTGTAGAACATACTCGAGAGAACATACTTTTAATTTGGCAGTATTCCAACCATACACATCAGTTGATTTTAAGTATAACTTACGTCGTTAACTTACATAAAAAAAAGCACAGAGTTTCGCCCGCTTCCTCATTTCGAAGAGTCACAAAGTGGGAGAGGATGTGGTTTGTTCCTCATTTAATAACCGGAGTGACACAGCAAGCATTTCGTACAACCGTTAATTGTGGAACCCCCCTTTTTTGACGATTAATGCATTTGAACCCCCACCCCCCCCCCCCCCTTTATCCTGGGTTAGGAACCCCCCCTGGATCTGTTTGGTCTCATTCCAGAAATTATACACAAAAAAAATTGAATCTTAACTCAAGGTATGGGACAATGCTTACTCTGTTGTTCCTCATAACATGACCCAAAAAACATATATTGGCAAGTTTTTGTGAAAATCTCATGATAAGTGGCACATTAAATGACCATTGACTGTCCTGATGGTTAGAAACCTGTAATTCAGTGGTTGTAGTTTTTTGCTGTTTATGATACATGTTTTTCGTTTATGGTTTTGTACATAGTCAGATTGTTAGTTTTTTGTTTGGATTGCTTTATATTAACATGTCATGGCCTCATTTTATAGCTTGCTAAGCAGTCACGGTGTGTTTATTGTTGATGGACATACGGTGGCTATAGTTACTAACTTCTTTGTAATATGGTCTCTGCCAGTATACAGTTATAACACATTAAACTGCTATACTTGTTGCAGGCACTTTAGAAAGAAAGCGCTGGTTGAAATAGGTTTTACAGGGCCAAAACTACTTATTGAATTACCGTAATGTCAGATTTATATCTTCGATTTAAACGTGGCTGTATAAATACCTCTCAAACTGCCAACATGCATGGCAATAGCTCTTGCTAGAGTTTTTGTGTGTCAGTTAGAGAGATTATCATACTCCTGCACGTGTATTTAATTTAACTTTCTGATTCAGACCGGACATGACTGCGCATTTATATCCCGTACACATGGTACAGCCATTGTCTCCCCTAGGCAAGCATAGTTTAAATTTATTGTTTTTTTTTAGATAAAATTAATTAACAAGCCAAAATAACTAGATTTGGCTAAATAACTTGACTATCATTTACCTATCTACTAACTTTTACCCAATAATGTATCGAATAATCAACTAACTTATAAACCCGAGACTCATGCCTAACTCGTTGTTAAAATATATAGTGTGTTATATTCCCACAAAGAAGCATTATAATTAGAAATCCGATCAGAGACGGATCCAGTGTATTTTAAAAGTTGCCGGGGCGTTATTCCAAAAAAAATTTCGTATACCAATTTTTTGGATCGATTTTATGCATAAAATGATATAATTTCCAATCAATGGGGGCGTATGCCCACTATGTCCCTCCTGAACCACCCACTGTCCACCCATTGAGAGCGCAGTATTGGGCCCTTTGCAATTTTAGATGTTAAATGCCCAAATACTTTAGTTTTGGTACCATATACCATTGGCTTCGAACGAATACAGTGGCGTATCTCTCTCAACACCACGGGTGCCACATGAGGAGCAGGGTCTGGTTACCCTTCCGGAACACCTGCAGTGGCGGATCCGAAAGGGGGGGGGGGTGTTCCTGGGGTTGGAACACCCCCCCCCCCCCTTTATCCTGGGTTGGGAACCCCCTTTTAAAAATGGCTGGATCCGCCCCTGACCTGAGATCACTCCCGGTTTTTGGTGGGGTACGTGATGCTCAGTCTTTAGTTTTCTATGTTGTGTTCTTTATACTGTTGATTGTCTTTTGGTCCTTTTCTTCTTTTGCCATGGCATTGTCAGTTTATATTCAACCTACGATTTGCGGAATTCCCGTTGGTATATTTTGCCTCTCTTTTATAAACTTCACTTTTTGATATAGATAAAAATGCGGATCCAGGATTTTGATGGGGGCAAACTAGACAACGTCGTTAGAAGATTGACAAGTAAAAAGTCTATGTATGTCGCTCCATAATTACTGAGGGGCCGGACCCCTGCCCCCTCTCCTAAATTCGCCTCTTTAGATTTTTGTTTCAATGTGCTGACCACTAGGCGTTAAGCAAACAAGCAATCATTGTTTCTGTCGACTGCACCAGTTTAGAATTACATGCACAGAATATTGCCAAGGTATCTGATATATCTATATTTTGTCTCATTTTGTCTCATCCGGGTATTTGAACAATTCAATTCACATGCTTATTGGCATATTACTTCAAACAGCAAGTTTTTGACAAGTACAAAATAATTACACAATATAAATAAAAATTCACACATATATACAGTAAATAGTCTGGAGTCCTCTGTTCTCAGGACTAATTACTTTTTAATGAGTTTAACACACACTGACGCACAAACCATGATTGGGTTTTCTATTTTAAGAAAATCGTTATCATTCTTTACCAAATATCCGAACTCTCAATTAAAACATAACAATTTTAAAGTTTAAAGAAAATTAAAGAAAATTAGAAACGCGGACCTGAAAGAGAACGTCCAAGGTGATGCGGCATGCTTTCTAAGACGGCCGCTTCAAATTAATGTGATAAATTCACTGTTATAGCGTGTTTCATTTTAATCTGGTACCAATGAACTATCAGAAAGAGAGAGCTAGAGGGCTGTTTCGTAAACCAGTCATAACAAACCGGTATCATTACACATGTGTACATGTATGTCCTGATTCTTGATTCTTGATTTTCCAACTCATACAACAGGATGCCGTTTACCATTTGTCCATTTGACCACAGAGTTATAGCTGCAGGGTCATTGTCTATTACTACTGGAATCGCAGTATTTACGACTTATAAATGGTTATCGGAAAGAAGACGGAGAGCTCAAAGTAACGTTTATGAATCGGAAAAATTAGTGAACGAATACCTTGCTTTTCATTTTGCAAATGAGAAGAACATTCGCCTAGATCTTATTCCTGCAAGTGCTCTCGACTTTCCTAAACGATGTGCAGATTTGTGTCTAAAACACTCAGAGACTCTTTTGAAGGTATGTATAGTTTGATGATCTTGTAAGCAGGCAAGATGATTATGTCCACAGGTTTGATGAAAGGGAGATTACTCAAAAATTTCAAAATCATCTTAGCCATCATATGTGCAATTTTCTCAAGTACATTGCAAGTAATAACATTTCAATTAAATTGGTTATTCTAAGGGTCTAGTTGGGGGACCTTAATTTCTGTATTCTTTAAATTTTTAAGGTATTTTTCTCTATATTTAATAATAACACTTATTCTTTAAAATTCTCTAATTATATGATTTCCTTATTCTGTACAACATACATTTCTGTAATCAGTATTTTATTGGCTAATTCTTTTACTTTTCACAGTTATTCTTTGAACTTTTGCACCCCTTATTCTCTATTCTTTAATTTTTGGCTCATTTTTTTCTATTCATTATTTTTTGGCTATGATTCTCTATTTTGTAAACTCCATCTAGAGGCTCTATTATGTGTTGAGTGAAGAAACAAATCTATATAATAAACTTTTCAAAATAAAAAAAAAACAAGACAAACAAATTATTAAAAACTGATTTTTTTTTTATCCTGAGGAAAAAGTTTTTAATTTATAACAAATAGTGGTAATTATCATGATTATAGGTAAAAAAGAATCTTGGTTATAAATATATATTTATATATTTTTAAGATTTAAAAAATATCTCTTATAGGAAATTGATATTTACTAATTTTTGGGATCAAGCAGAAAGTTGTGGCCATTTCCTAACAGCAAAATTGGCCATTGGTTTTATCAATGTTTTTGTTGCTAAATCCAAAACGAAACTGCATTTATTTAGAAGTAGAAAAGGATTTTTGTATTAGTTTAAAATGCAAAAAAATAAGCATGATAAGATTGTTATAAAATAACAAACAAAAAAATCAGGGGACCTAAGTGGACAAGTAGTATTAGAAGTTTATCTACAGTTATCACTAACCTACAATCAACATTAAAATTGTGTATTCAAACCCTGCCCATGGATAGATGTGTTCAATTCCTACATTATCTTAGTTGCCAGTTTTCCTTCCAAATTTATGAAATTAAAATTGACTTTACATTACAAAGAAGTTGAAAAATTGAATATCTTTTCTTTTAAAGAAAGAAAAAAAAAGCATTAATTATCCTCCATGTTGAGGACTGAGGACATTTGACTCATATAAATAGACTTTTTGTTTTCTTTGTGCCATGATGTTTTAATTTGCTGTAATTGCCACAAATCGCCAGCACAAATTTGTATTTGAAAAAAAAAATATCTGTTGTGTCGTCTACTGGTCGGAGGACACAGTTATCGTCCTTAGATTTTCGTTGTCTACAATTATAGTCCCTAGTGTGGACAGTGTATAACTTGCAAATTTTTTTCATACACATTCTAAATTTATTTCTTTATATTTTATGCATGAAATATTAAGTAAGGGGATGAAATTACATGTTAAAAAAATTTGGTTGCTGAATCTTTATGTTAAGTAGTGATTTGGTCCAGTTAAAAAAAGGTCAAAAACTAGTATGTCTGAAGCTGTCAAACTGAATTTTAGACCCCCTTAACATATAATTGTCAATATTTTGAGTTAGAGCTGGTAGACTTTTCTATAATTTTGATATTATTTGTCCCAATAGTAGTACACTACACTGTAAAAATCTTTTTGAGATAGAGCAGGCGTGAATTTTTTAAATTTACTTTATTGTCTAAAAGAAATGCACTACGGAATAACTGTGTTCTCGGGCCTACTATTGTGAGGTTTCTGTCAGTCACATTTATAAACATAACTAAGACAGTAACCCAATAACGCATTAAATAAAAAAAAGCAATTAGTTCTTATTTGTATCTTGTATTATTTTGCAGTTTAATTCTGTTTCACGAGCATTAGATATAGGTTGTGCAGTTGGTCGATCATCGTTTGAATTAGCCAGAAAGTTCCAGGAAGTGATCGGTATTGACTATAGTCAAGCTTTTGTTGATGCTTGTCAACAGTTAAAGGACCAAGATAGTAGAATTTACTTCATCACAGACGAGGGAGAGTTAACTACAGGCTGTTCTGCTAAAGTTTCAGAGGGCATTGTAAGTTTTAGTTTGATGACATTGGATGAAAAATCGTCAACTGAATTTTCATTCTTATTTGATTTACTGTAATTGTTTTAACGCAGAAAATTATTCTCACAATTTGAAAAAATTATCAGAAAATAAGTTATAAGAACTCTTTGTAAACATTGATATTATTCAAATTGTAGATATCAATTTTCAGTTCCAGTCATACACAAATAGAAAGACAATTCAATTGACACAGACGTAGCATAGCCTGACTTGGTACATACAATATGATATGAAAAGATTAATATTACTAAAAATGTCCTCCCTATCTTAAAATTATTTTGACAAATACAAATCAATTGCTGCTCTAACCTGGAACGGGCCAAAGGGAGATAGCTCTAATAACATTAGAACCACATTGATAGAAGTACCATTTTGTTAATTACTGTACTGTAAACCGACTAATTTTCGCAAGCCATTTATTTTCGTGACTTTCGCGAGTAGAAAAATATCTCGGAGATAAATCGTCACGAATATGTAAAACTTGGATTTTTCCCTATTTATCTCCATCAAGTAAATTTTAGAATCGTGAAATTAAACCACCCAGAATTGGGTTAGAAAGGGCTAAACGCGAAATAAAGTATCCACAAAAATAAGTTGGTTTACAGTATCAGTAATAATTGATAACACAGAATTAAAAGGGATCTAGAAAGGTGAAATTTAAGGACTATATAACTGTCTTATGTTTATGAGATATGAAATCAAAATCTATGTTTTGTCAATGTAACATGATGACTGCCAAAAGAATGAACTTATTTATTTTAGTACACCTAGAATAGATAATAAAGCAGCCATCAGAATAGAAGATTTGAGTCAACAAAAAAACATGACAAGTATTTTTTGAAAATTTTGTATTTATCATTTATTTTGAAAATTCTGCATTTATATTCAATATTTTTCATGACAATCAGATTTGATTTGTTAAAAATCTTCAGTTTTCTTTAAGTCAAGTTTTTATTTTTTCCAGGATAAAAGTAGATGTTCATTTCAACAAGGTGATGCTTGCGATCTTCCACATGACATTGGAAAGTTTGGATGTGTACTAGCAGCCAATCTAATTTGTAGACTCCATACTCCTTTAGACTTCCTCAATAGAATGGCTGATTTAGTTATTCCTGGTGGAATTCTAGTGATTACTTCTCCTTACACTTTCCTTGAAGAATTTACACCCAAGGTAACTACTTATTATTTTCATGCATGTACAAATAACAGATTTCTAATGTTTTTTATTTTGTGTATCTTTTTTTGTACATCTCATCTATTTGTTATTTCTTAATGAATTCTTCTGATTATATTCCTTTATATATAAGTTAAGGCCTAGGTGGTTGAATGGTCTAAGTTATAGAAAAGAAAAAAAATAGGGGTATCCATCCACGACACAATGTCAGTATGTGCACAACAAAAAACACAAAAAGCAGAGAAACAGCAACAAGTCCATATCTGTATAGCCTGTCAATAGTGAGGTTGTAAGTTCTAATCCTGCACGCCACAGGTGCATTCCATTCCAATCTTAATTGACTAATATTGTCAGTTTTCCTGCCGAAAGTCATGGTTCTCTCCACTAATAAAAACTGACTGCCATTATATAGCCGATAGTGCTGAAAATGGCATTAAACACCAACAATCAATCCTGTATGTTCCTATCAAGGTAACTTTACTATTACAATTCTAATGATTATAGAAATGGATCAGTGGAAAGTGGTACCATGGTTGTCTGTGGTGCAACAGGTAGTGGTTTTAATATGTGCTTTGGTAAACAAAGAATTAAGAATTTGTATTTGCTGCTACTTTGTAAAGCATGCAGTATTTACGAGTATGAATAAAAATTGGTTGGCTTTGAGTCAGAATCATGTGTCAGGGTACAGTGACATATCTTCACATGTACTGTTACTTTCTGAGTTAGCTTAATAAAAATATGACTCAGTCAATCTCGAACATAGATTTGTATATCCACCTCTTGTTTACATGTTGTTGTATTGAATGTACCTGTAATATATACACTTGAATGTAAAACAGTCATCAATCAATAAATGAATCTAGTGATTACCTCCCCTTACTGTTTACATGCAAAGTTTACTCCCATGGTCTCTTGATGAAGAGTTGTCTCATTGGCAGTTATACCACATCTTACTATTATTATATTAACTAACTCTTTCAGACTTTACTGATTTATCTTTAATCAGGGTATGTTTATTCCATTTATCATGTTTATATTGATTTGTTTAATTTTTAGAGTAATTGGTTGGGAGGATATATAGGTAAAGATAACAAGCCAGTGACAGGAAAGATGACCTTGAAAAAAGTTTTAGGACCATCATTTGACCTTGTAGATGAAGTAGATATGCCTTTCTCTATCAGAGAGACAGCAAGAAAAAATCAGTTAACTGTAGCTGAAGCCACTGTATGGAGGAGGAAAAATGTTTAATGTGGAAATAATATAGTCATTATTACTTTTTGAAGACTGATTAGAACAAAAATTCTTTCGAAAACTATCTTAACAGAAAAATTATCTTAATTGAGTAAAGGCATTGCAAACACTTCTTTAATTCATAGTATGCCTGCTAATAGTTCCTTCCTCAGATGATGTTTCTTTTTTGCAAGTTGCTGCTCAAAAGCCAAATATAATTTTTAAAATCAACTGAAAAATGAAAATCCTCTCATAAGAAAATTTATTTCTAAACTGTTAACATGTGACTGGTGATAACATTAGTTTTGTGCAATATGATTGGACAACTTACACAATTTTACAGGAGATATTTCAGAACATACCTATTTAAAAATTTTGTATAAAGGTAATGAGATGGAATGCAGCTGGTATGTGTCCTTTATAAAATGAGAAGAGTTATTGGTAGTTATCTCCCCCTGAACTACGATATTAAGGGGAGACAATAAGTAGCATCATGTAAGTCAAATTATCTCCCTGGATAGGGAAATAGCTTAATCATGTTTTTTTTGCCTTACACAAAGGAATATTTCCTTTGTATATTTTAGTTTGCAATGGATGAAAGTTCGATATTGAGACTTTGAAAATTTTGCTATCTTATGGTCAAAGTTGTGTAAAAATAAATTGGCTTGAATGTTTAATGTTCTATGTTTGTAATACATGTACATACATATATTCACTGTCAATTTTCATTGAGGACTTTTTACATTAAATCTGAACCAACCCAGGATAAAGGGAGGGTTCAACCATATGTCCCCATTCAAAAGCATTGATCATCAAAAAAAGGGGGGATTCCAACCCCAGGAAACCCCTCCCCCCTGGATCTGTGACTTATTGCAAAAACAATATTTGTGTACCTGCCAAACACTTTCCTTTTTCAAGATATAGTCTAACTTTTTTGTCAGAATTGATTTATTATTTTACTTGTCCTTGTCCTGAATAAACATGAAACATTTACTAGTACCAGGGCTTCCAAAATTATTTTTAGCCAGCCGGACATTTTATATATTATCCCGATTTTAATCCCTTAAGACTAAATAAACAAAAGGCAATTATGGTAATCAGTTGCCGAGTTGGCCATCCCAATGATTGACATTAAAAAAAAGATATCAAACTTTCTTTGATTCAAATTCGAAGTTCTGACGTAAACTGTTAAATTGGCAGTGCATCATTCGAAGTGTGCAACATCAGCGTACTTATATCTACTTAGGCTCTTTATTTGTGCAAAATAACGTTGTCAAAAACTACTTTCGTTTTTATACCGGATGTAATTTTGACAATGGTAAAACATGGACCAGAGACGGATAAATTACTACTTCTTGTTAAACAAACAAAAATTAATCAATCATATTTGTTGAAGATATTATATTGAAATATTTAATTGTTACTGTAGTTTTTATTTAAAACAGCAAAGCACAAACTATGTGAAATTACAAAGTATTTCTCTGAATTGTCGGTGTCAAATGGGACACATGATAAAAAATACTTTTAATTTTTCGTCTTTTATTTTATCTCAAATTTTGTGTTTTTCATCATTTTGGATAATTTTGTGTCAATGGTACTGATCTCTGTTATATGTATATAAACTTTTCTGTAGACTTGACATAGACAGTCTGTTGTTTAAGATTTTTGTTGACCTCCAGATGTCTTTTAAATGGAGAGGCAAAAGACAACAAAGGGACATTCAAATTCATAAATATGTTAAAGTTTGTTTCAATTATTGCAGTCCCATTGGCATATACCTTACATATCCTTTTCTTTGTATACTTGTATTGGATAAGAACAAGTGACACCATGATCAAATAGTCCTTCAAACTTACAATCTATCTATTAATACATAATATTACTTGAAAATAACATTGTGATAAATAATACATAATGTCACTTTAAAATAACATTGTCTTGAATAGTACATAATGTCACTTACATGAATAATACACAATAGAACTTAATGATAACATTGACATGTGGTTTGTTAATCCATGTGTTGTGTCAATTTTCATACATCTAACAAAGATGTCTGTTCAAATTAGTCAGTATGTTCAGTAAAAATTTGACATGTGTTAATATCACATCTACAGTCATTTGACACATGATATGATAATTCATCAAAAACAATTGGTAGGTGATGTGCCAATTATCCATATATCTAATAAATATGTCTTTCAAGTAAACATTTGACGTATGTTATGTCACTTCTTCAGTCATTTGACACATGGTATAACAATTCTTCTGATATTTGATATGTGGTGTGTCAATTCTCCATACATCTAGCAAATATGACTGTTCAGTAAACATTTGACATGTCCTAAGTCAGGAGCCTGATGTTCAGTGGTTGTCGTTTGTTGATGTGGTTCATATGTGTTTCTCGTTTCTCGTTTTTTATATAGATCAGACCGTTGGTTTTCCTGTTTGAATGGTTTTACACTAGTCATTTTTGGGGCCCTTTATAGATTGCTGTTCGGTGTGAGCCAAGGCTCCGTATTGAAGGCCGTACTTTGACCTATAATGGTTTACTTTTACAAATTGTGACTTGGATCGAGAGTTGTCTCATTGGCATTCATACCACATCTTCTTATATCTATGCGTTAACTTATGTCACATCTATAGTCATTTGACACATGATATTACAATCCATCGAACAATTGCTAGGTGATGTGCCAATTCTCGATATATCTAACAAATATGTCTCAGTAAACATTTGACATGTGTTATGTCACTTATAGTCATTTGACACATGGTATAATTATTCAACTGATATTTCATATGTTGTGTGTCAATTCTCCATATTCTACCAAATATGTGTGTTCAGTAAACAGTTTACATATGAAATGTCACTTTTACAGTCATTTAACACATGGTATAATAATCCATATGTCATATGACATGTGCTGTGTCAATTCTCGATATATCTAACAAAAAAATGTCTTTTCAACAAACAATTGACATGTGTATGTCTTCTACAGCTATTTACCACATGGTTCTATAATTCCACACCCATTTGACATGTGGAATGTCGATTCTCCTTATATCTTACAAAAATGTCATTTCAACAATCGACATGTTATGTCACTTGATAGGTCATTTGACACATGGTATAATAATTCATCTAACATTTGATGCTGTGTCAACTCTCGATATATCCAACAAAAATGTCTTTTCAACAAGCATTTGACCTGTTATGTCTTTTACAACAATTTACCACATGGTTTAATATTTTCACAGCCATTTGACATGTGGTATGTTGATTCTCGATATATCTTACAAAAATGTCTGTTCAACAATCTTTCGACATGTTATGTCACTTATGAGGTCATTTGACACATGGTTTAATAATTACACAGCCATTTGACATGTGATATGTCGATTCTCATTATATCTAACAAATTATCTGTTCAACAAGCGTTTGCCATGTTTTACTAGTATGTCACTTCTTCAGTCGTTTGACACTTGGTATAATAATTCATCGGACTTGGTCATAATCTATATCAGTTCCCACGAAATCTGATATGTTATGACCGTTCTTCAGACGTTTGATATGTCTAATATCAATTTTAAAGACTGGACACATGATACATGTATATGTCATTTGTATAAAAAAGATTACACGGTATGGGTTTTTCTCATCGGTGAAGTCCTTACGGTTGCCTATGATTGCTTACATCCACTTCATTTGAACTTTGGTGGATAGTTGTCTCATTGGCAATCATACCACATCTCCTTATTTTTGCCAATTCAATTAATATCTGGAGTCATATATAAATAAAGAGAAGCAATGGACTTACACCTGTGAGATAACAACCAAACAACACAGTTAAAATAAAAGGACGTTATTTGAACAAGTGGCATAACGTATAGCGTGTAATTTCTACAGACGTTTGACTTGTATATCGTTTTAGATAGTTCTGAAGGCATTCGAAGTGTGTTAAGTGAGATGTCATCAGTATTGCAGACATGTAAAGGATATATATATGTCAGTCATGAATATATGCAGGATGAAAACCAATAAATAAGTGATGTTAGGGTTACATTCCAAATGCAGCTGGTTACTTTTTTTGTCGAGATATCTGCTTGAAGAAAACAAGTCCTCGTTATATTAAGTTTTGCCGATATATATATCGGTTATTTGTTAGTCATTTCAAAGTAATCAGTTGCATGCATAAATATGATTAGGGAATAGTCAATGATATATTTAAAATAACGTCTTTTACAACGAGCCAAATCTCTTTCCTCGTTGACAGTCATGACACTATTGGAGTTTAAGGCCCGAACTCGGATGTAAGATAAGATAGATCAGAAAAAAATATTTTGATTCGGCATAAGTCAAATATACATCACAAGCTCTAAGGAGCTTTTGATCGAATATAAAATGTGACAGTGTATTTAAGCATCGCACACATCCATACATTATAAAACTATAGGCTCCCAAGAGCCTCCTGTGTCGCTCACCTGATTCTACTTTGGTTTTGGAAATCATGTAAAAATAGATTAAAATCATAACAGATACCCTAATAATGTTTGAGGCCAAATTTGGTTTAACATTGGCCCCGTAATTTAATCAAAAGCAGAAGACTTTTGTAAAGTTTACAGAAATTATCAATAAATTCATTAAAATTGTAGAAAATGACTTTATAAGGACAATGACAAATCAGTTACACAGTAACAACACTTGGTCAGCACCTCAAAAGAAACATTCATACCATGTCTGGTTTCAATCCATTAAACGGTTTTCTAGAAGAAGACATTTGTATATATTTCCCATAGGGTCCTTTGTTAAACTAAGTCCCCCGTTGGCAGCCATCTTTGTTGATGGATTTGCTACAAAGTAACAACACTTGGTCAGCCCCTCATTAGGAACATTCATGCCATGTTTGGTTTCATTCCATTCAGTGGTTTTTCAAAAGAAGACTTTTGTATGTATTTCACATAGGGTCCTTTGTTAAATTTAGTTCCCCGATTGGCAGCCATCTTGGATGATTGATTGACTACAAAGTAACCAAACTTGGCCAGCACCTCATTAGGAACATTTATGCCATGTTTAGTTTCATTCCATTCAGTGGTTCTCTAAAAGAAAACATTTGTATGTATTGTCCATAGGGTCCTATGTTAAACTAAATCCCCGCTGGCGGCCATCTTGGATGATTGATCGCCTACAAAGTTACAATACTTGGTCAGCACCTCATAAGGAATATTCATGCCATGTTTTATTTCATTCCATTTAGTGGTTCTCTAAAAGAAGACATTTGTATGTATTTCCCATAGGTTCCTATGTTAAACTAATTCCCTTTCTGGCGGCCATGTTGGATGATGTATCGGCTTCAGAGTAACAACAATTGGTCAGCACCTCATAAGAAACCTTCATGCCATGTTTGGTTTCATTCCATTCAGTGGTTCCCTTAAAGAAGACATTTGTATGTATTGTCCATAGGGTCCTATATTAAACGAAGTCCCCCGCTGGCGGCCATCTTGGATGATGGATCGCCTACAAAGTTACAACACTTGGTCAGCACCTCATAAGAAACATTAATGCCATGTTTTATTTCATTCCATTTAGTGGTTCTCTAAAAGAAGACATTTGTATGTATTTCCCATAGGGTCCTATATTAAACTAAGTCCTTCTCTGGCGGCCATCTTGGATGATGGATCGGCTTCAAAGTAACAACACTTGGTCAGCACCTCATAAGTAACATTCATGCCATGTTTGGTTTTATTCCATTCAGTGGTTCTCTAAAAGAAGACTTTTGTATGTATTGTCCATAGGGTCCTATGTTAAACGAAGTCCCCCGCTGGCGGCCATCTTGGATGATTGATCGCCTACAAAGTTACAACACTTGGTCAGCACCTCACAAAGAACATTCATGCCATGTTTTATTTCATTCCATTTAGTGGTAACATTTGTATGTATTTCCCATAGGGTCCTAAGTTAAACTAAGTCCCCCTCTGGTGGCCATCTTGGATGATGGATCGGCTTCAAAGTAACAACACTTGGTCAGCACCTCATAAGTAACATTCATGCTATGTTTGGTTTCATTCTATTCAGTGGTTCTCTGAAAGAAGACTTTTGTATGTATTGTCCATAGGGTCCTATGTTAAACGAAGTCCCCCGCTGGCGACCATCTTGGATGATGAATCGGATTCAAAGTAACAACACTTGGTCAGCACCTCATAAGTAACATTCATGCCATGTTTAGTTTCATTCCATTCAGTGGTTCTCTAAAAGAAGACATTTGTATGTATTGTCCATAGGGTCCTATGTTAAACGAAGTCCCCCGCTGGCGGCCATCTTGGATGATGAATCAGCTACAAAGTAACAACACTTGGTCAGCACCTCATAAGGAACATCCATGCCATGTTTGGTTTCATTCCATTCAGTGGTTCTCTAGAAGAATTTCAAAATGTAAAAAGGTAATGATGACGACGACGGACGACGGACGCCAAGTGATGAGAAAAGCTCCCTTGGCCCTTCGGGCCAGGTGAGCTAAAAAATAAAGAGATGTGGTATGATTGCCAATGAGACAACTATCCACCAAAGTTCAAATTAAGTGGATGTAAGCAATTATAGGCAACCGTAAGTCCTTCAACAATGATAAAAACCCAAACCGTACAATCGGCTTTAAAAGGCCCCGAAATGAAAAGTACGAAAAAATTCAATTGAAAAAAATAACGGCCTAATTTATAACAAAAACAATTTACGGAAAACAAATATGACAAACATCAACCATGACAACCACTGAACTACAGGCTCCTGACTTGGGACAGGCACATGATAAAGAATGTGACAGGGTTAAACTTGTTTGAAGGCGCCAACCCTCCCCCTAAGTTGGGACAATGGCATTTATACATCCCTAAAAAAGTCAGTTTGAAGATTTTGGATTAAAATCAATGTTAGTTTGTCCTGTTGCATTTCAAATGTTTTCCAATCATATTTCAATGTGTTGTGTTGGTCTTATTTGGAAAATAAATTAATTGTTATTCGAATAATCCTTCATGATTACGCTATTTGGATGAATGTGAAAGGTATTCTTATTGACTTTTTATGGCTAAGCTGTTTGGCTGCTTGTAATAAGTAGGAACGGCCTTTCATGGTTACGTTGTTTGACTGTTGGTGATGCATGGCTAATATGTTTGGCTGCTAGGGAAGAGTAGTGTATAAAGTAAAACATACAAGATTTGTTTGGTTTTGAAGAGTACTCCTAGTTTAAGGAAATGAAGGAGGAGTGGGCATTCATTTTAAATATTTTCCTATGCACTGAAGTTACTAATCGCAGTTCCCCATGGTTCAGTATGTAGAACTACAACATATTCTCATTATACAGTTATTCTTTACTACAATAACGAGAAAAAATAGTAATTTAAAAGGAAATGTATACGCTCGGTTAAACTTGAAGGAGTTGAATATAGAACTGTAAATATTTGTGTAGGTATATTTACAAACGGAAAACGGGTGTGACCTGCCATAAGACCATTTAATAGATCCATGGACAAACTTGGATCATTAAAGACATTAATGTAAAGGTAAGATACACTATTTGTATTTCTTTCTTGTTAAATGTCCCTAAGGTATGGGTTTGCTCATTGTTGAAGTCTGTACGGTGACCTGTATTTGCTACATTCTTGTCCTTTGGTCTTTGGTGGTTGATAGTTGTCTCGTTGGTAAACATACACCATCTTCTTAATTTCTATATATTATAGCATAGGCTGTACCTACATATATCTTAAATCTTTTTCCTAGATTAAAAGCATTGCCATCTAACGTAATGGAATACATGTTGCTTAAGGGTTTGAGAAAACGGGAAAACACCTATATAAATATAAATATTTATGTTTTTATTTATATACAAAAAACTTATTTTGAAACTTATTGTAATTATGTTCAGTTTTTATTTTCCCTGGCATGTACTTTCTTATACTCTTCAAACCGTTGATTATTTTGAAGTTATGTCTACGTTGCATACGACAAAATCTGCACAAGTTATGGATCAAAGGGAGATAACCAAAGTTTTTTTTCACAACTGTGAAAATTAAAATATATATTTGTTTCCATATTATCTACTGCATGCACTGTCATGTTCACTAATCTGTGTACTGTCATGTTCACTAATCTGTGTACTGTCATGTTCACTAATCTGTGTACTGTCATGTTCACTAATGAGTGTACTGTCATGTTCACTAATCTGTGTACTGTCATGTTCACTAATCGGTGTACGGTCATGTTCACTAATCGGTGTACGGCCATGTTCACCAATTGGTGTACTGCCATGTTCACCAATTGGTGTGCTGTCATGTTCACTAATGAGTGTACTGTCACGTTTGTAATCTTGCCCTCGATAGACCATTTATTAGTTTGATAACATTAGTGTATTAAACTTATTGATATACTACATCTCCTTATTAATTATTTGTCGATAGAAACTTGGATGTAGATTATTGATTGACACAGTATAGATACTAAATCCTGTACTATTGTCAATATATATAACGTAGGTAAGAAATGGAAAGAAGTACAGTTTGTTTGTTGATGGTTGTCAATCTGATGTATGTGTGTATTGGAGCTGCTATCTTTATGACATTAGAATCAGAAAATGAAACCACGACGTCATCAGAAATACTTTCCACTGTTAATACATTTCTTGGTAAGTGTAATTACCTAGCTTTACGTTATAATAAAGTGCAAACTAGCTTGAAATTCTGAACCCTGGAATTGCGTTTAGGTTTTTCATTTGTTTTGTCTTTTTGATATAGTATGATATAAGTATTATTAAAGCATCAGTTATTGGGCTCATCATTATATTTACATATATTTCCAAATAGCTCGTTATCTAGATGCCGTAAATCATTACAGAATCGAAGACTTAAGATTACCTTTCCGTCAGAATTAAGAATGTGTTATGTATTGATCAATCATAGTTATTAGATATGAATAACGTTTATCAAAGTGAAAAAAAAAATGATTGGGTTGATCTTCTGTAGTAAAATAACATGATGTCGGATTAAGTTGAACTTATCATTCATGCATACATTTACTGTGATTTTGTATTTTATTAATGAGAGATGAGACTTAAATCGAATATTAAATTGATAAAAAAAAACTAAAATTTGTATGTAAACACATTCATACGCTAAGTATACTTTTTGAACTCACTTTCCTGATGTTTGAGCAGTCGTAAGTTACTGATATTTTTATGTTCAGTAAACCATTTCTATCCATGAGCTACATATATACTAACAATTGATTATATTTAAGCCACGTATGATACACGTCGTTAAGTCTGTTTCAGACAACAAGTCATCTTGTTTGTAGAGTTGACATGAATAACTAAACAATTCATTTCATCTAAGTGCTCGTAACTCACAAATGCATGTGTTTGTTTTTCAGCTAATCATTCCACCTGTTTGAGTAACAAGGAGTTACAGAAATTTCTCCGTAAAGTGCTAACAGCGTATCAGAATGGAGTTTTTACAACAAACGAGACAAGAAGTGCAACACAGTGGGATTATCCCAGTTCTTGGTTTTTTGCCATGACCGTTACAACTACTATAGGTACTTACTGCAAAGGAAATAAAACCTTTCCCCAGAATCAGTTGGTGTTTACCGGGACATTTAATGTTTTGCATTTTTTGCATGAATTATTCTAAACGTACCAGTTAGAAAAATAACGAACACAGTCAAACGCAACATGAAAATGAAGTGAAGCAATATCTTAAGTAGTAAAATTTAGAAATTAGGCATTTATGTTAAACCAGTTATTGGCCCTTATCAGGCAAGCTATACAAAAACATTATTGTACAAGTGATTGCAAATAAATTTTATTATGAAGCATGCGTCAATAGAAAATTGAATTAGACTATTGGCAATATAGGACATTATGACAATATTACATGTATATATTTATATGATTTCTTGTATTTGACAGGATATGGGAACCAGTCTCCCGTCACAGATGGAGGAAGAACTTTCTGTATATTTTACGCATTGCTGGGGATTCCACTCACAGGGATAATGTTACTGGGTCTTGGAGAAAAACTGAAATTCATAGTTTATTCTATACAGAATAGGAAATGTACAAAATATGAGAAAACAGAAAGTTTCATAAAACATATAGTACTAAATGTATTTATAGTTGGATTGTTGACATTGTTACCGGCGCTGGTCTTCCATCTTATAGAAGACTGGACTTACGGGGAATCTGTATATTACTGTTTTATTACATTGTTTACCATAGGGTTTGGTGATTTTGTAGTAGGTAAGTGTTTGTGTTAGATGGGTTTTCAATGTATAAGAGCAATGATTTGTATAGTGCTCGTGTTAGAACAGGACCATACTTATACTTTGAAAGCTTAATGATATTGTTGTAAATGTAAGTATATAAATGTGTTAGGAGTTATTGTAGTTTTCTAGTAAGTATGCATGCATTTGTGTTGAAACAGTTCTATCGTATGAGGGAATAATCCGCGGTGGCTTTCTAATCACATACAAGCTCTCTTTTCTGGATATAAAAAAAATAAGGCGATGTGATATGATTACTATTGAGACAATTATCCACCAGACACAAAAATTTGCAACCATAGTGCACTGTTCAGCATTCAACAATTACTATATCGTAAAGAAAGGTATACATGTTTTCTTTCTCCTTTCTGTCCCCAGCTTTTCCTGGTCCCTCACTATCTTTTCCTCCATTCTATTCTATTTTTTTCTTCGTTTTTGAACTTTCAGTTTTCTTACATGTTCTCCCCATCGTCAGCGAGAACTTGGTTACAATAAGAACTAAAGATTTTCTCGTTTTATTATACCCCACGCAACGAGTTGCGGAGGGTATAATGTTTTTGACCCGTCCGTCCGTCTGTCCGTCTGTCCATCCGTCTGTCTGTCCGTCCGTCCGTCTGTCCGTCCGTCCGTCCGTCAGTCCGTCAGTCCTGTTTCTTGTCATCGCAACTCCTCTCAAACCACACAACAGAATTTCACGAAACCTTTTTAGATAATAAGGACATACTATGTAGTTGTGCATATCGACAGGAAATTACGATTCAATTCTTTTTCTAGGAGTTACGCCCCTTTGAACTTATTTGCCCAATATACTACTGCAACAGTTTGTCATCGCAACTCCTCTCAAACCACACAACAGAATTTCATGAAACTTTTTCAGATAATAAGGACATACTACGTAGATGTGCATATCGACAGGAAATTACGATTCAATTTTTTTCCAGGAGTTACGCCCCTTTGAACTTATTTGCCCAATATACTACTGCAACCTTTTGTCATCCCAACTCCTCTCAAACCATACAACAGAATTTCATGAAACTGTGTAGATAATAAGGACATACTATGTAGATGTGCATATTGACAGGAAATTATGATTCAATTTTTTTTTCTGATACAATTTTTTTTTCTTTTCTTACACTTATTTTATTTCTCCAATGACAATGTGGGGACGTGGGGTATGTGAGCGCGCTCACTAAGGTTCTTTCATTTGTTATAAATTTTGTCATGTAGGGTCTTTTGTAGATTGCTATGCGGCATGGGGTTTTCTCATTGTTGAAAACCGTACATGTAGTGACCTATAGTTGCTAACATCTACGTTATACGATCTCTGACGGATAGTTGTCTCATTGGCAATCATACAGCATCATACTGTTATATATTAGTTGATTCTAGTTGTACAGACAGAAGATGCATAAAACAAGGCGCATTTCATAAACGATGGAGTTAAAGACAGAGGAAAAACACTCACATTTCATAGCAGTTAAAATTAAGATGGCTCATCTGAAAGACATGTGGGCAGAGTATGATTACATTTTCTCAAAATAATGATATTTTTCTCTGTTGAGTATATAACTTAGAACTGAATATCTACTCTTCTTGTTGTTATTGGTAACATCAATGTACTAGTTATCTATTCTTTATATTTGATGTAGTTATTTCTTTCTGATGTCTGGTTTCATTATACTGAGAAAATATTCTTTTATTATTTTAATTGCAGCTTCAAACGCAGAACAAAATTACAAAACTTTATACAAGATTTTAGTAAATATTTGGATTTACATCGGTTTGGCGTGGTTCACCACAATCATCAGTTACATTAGTGACAAATATACTGAATCTATAACGGAAAGAGAAGATAAATATAAGGTAGGTCCAGATACAATCAGCTAGGGGATGGTGAGATGAAATATGATATATGGAAATTAATCATATTATTCTCTTTTCTTTATATTCCAGCACCCCATTATTCTATAATCTTTATTTTTTGTGCCTATTTGTCTGATATGAAAATGTGGATGGATTTAAGTGATACCTTTAATTGATTTTAGCTGACACATAAAATGGGCAAAACAATACAAGAAGAAAGAGCAAAACCAGACAAAATGTCGGATTTGGGACAGACACGTAAATATGTAGAAGCAATAAGCTTTTTGTGTTTCCTCTCTCTATTCAAAGTTAACATGTGCAATGAAAAATCAATCCACTAAAATCACATAATTTCACGGGGCTAGGAGGAAATTTGAAAAAAAAGCAGGACAGGATTTTTGAGTAAAAAAAAGGCAGGATGAGCAATTTGGCCACAAAAAAAAAGGCAGGATGACAATTTATGTAAAAAGTCAGGATAAACTAATAAAAAAAAAAAGGCAGGACCGAATAGAGTGAAAAATAAAAAGGCAGGACAGAATTACAACTAAAAAAAAAAAAAAATGCAGGACACAATTTTTCATCCTAGCCCCCCATAAAAATCAAATGGTAGCTCCCTTACTGAAAGCAAGCTCAGTGTATTTCAGATGTCATTGTGTTCTTTGTGTGTGAGTATGTGTTATTTACATATATCCAACATTTTCTTTTATTCATTTTTTTTAAAATGCTTTTATCAATAGTAAACTAAAACGTTTGACTGTAAAATAATATTTTTCAACATGTTGCAGATTTCCAATGATCTACCAATAGCTGAAAAGTCACAGAAAACTAGTATCAAACAGGCCGGAATGTGACTGTCAACTGTGACGTCATTGTAGACTATCAACTAGTAGATGGTTTAGTTCAAACAAATTAAGACGTGATTTGGACATTGAAGACAATTATACGGATATATTACAAAAAGAACCACATATGTTAAAATGTAAGGGAGCAACCATTTAACTTCAAGGGGGAGGGGGTTATGGTTTTTGCCTGAGTCAGATTTTTTTTCGCACTATAAGGTATGGGGAAAATCTGGATTCAGAATATTTTTTTTTGTCATCTGCTTAACCACAATATTTTTTTTCATCAAATTAGGGATCAGGATATTTGTTTTAGGAAAAAACCATACCCCTTCCCCCTTGAAGTTAAATGGTCGTTCCCTAACAGTTTAAGCACTCTTTCTTCAATTCTAAACACTGTTTGTTAAGGATATTTAATATCTCCGGGTGTTGATTGGTGCAGTCCTATAGATACCACGTGTATAAGAAGTACCAACGTTATGTAAAAGCTTTAAATGAACTAATGGATTATTGTTGGACATAAGAAATTAAAATAAAGATGGATAAAATCAATAATTTTTTAATAAATACATAATAAAATAATAAGGAGATGTGGTATGATTGCTAATGAGTTTACTATCCACCATAACAAAATTCAAATGAAGTGGGTGTAATCAATTTTAGGGAACATTACAGCCTTCAACAATGAGAAAAACCCATACCGTATATTCGGATATAAAGGCCCCGACATAAATAATGCAAAACAATTCAATTGAGAAAACTAAAGGCCTAGTATATAATAAAACAATTTACGAAAATCACAATTTGACAGACATGAACGACAACCATGCACTGTACTACTGGCACCTGACTTGGGGCAGGCACATTAATAATACCGCGGGTTAAACATGTTTGCTGGCGCCAAATCTCCCTCTAACCTGGGACAGTGATGTAACAGCACAACATAAGAACAAACAATTAAAATCACAGTTGAAAAGGGCTTAACTTATCAGATCGATACAAAACAGAAACACAACTAACAAATACACAGAACGAAAGTCGCAGGGAATTTATACATCCCCTAAAACAAACAAGACACAAAGTACTCGCAGTTACTGACAGCTAGTTCAAAGTTAAACAGATGTCGCTGATTTCATATAAAATTAGAAAACAAAATGGTTGTAAAATACTTACATCAGTATTAAATATATATCCATTTGAAGATGTATATACTTCTTAATCTATATACCTAGGATGTTATAAGAAAGAATATAATATATATCCCTTATAGTTAAATAAATGTCACCGCCCTTTCCTTGAAAAAAAACTTTAACCCCATAAAACAAGATATTTGACTAAAGTGATCTAAAACCTTAGTCAAATATCTTGTTTTAGAAAGTTATCTAAAGTCTTTGTCAAAGAACTTGTTTTAGAAAGGGAGTCCGTCATTTTTACATTAAACTGGTGGTATCATGGATTACATTGGAAGAATCATAAATTAAGGCATTCCACTAAAAAAACAATGTTTGGCAACCTCAGTGGCAAATATCCTAACGGAATAAAACATGATCACGAACAGAAACATATGTATAGCCATATTATATAGATATAAGAAGATGTGGTATGAGAGCCAATGAGACAACTCTCCATCCAAGTCACAATTTGTAAAAGCAAACCATTATAGGTCAAAGTACGGCCTTCAACACGGAGCCGTGGCTCACACCGAACACCAAGCTATAAAGGGCCTCAAAAATGACTAGTGTAAAACCATTCAAACAGGAAAACCAACGGTCTAATCTATATAAAAAACGAGAACGAGAAACACTTATGAACCACATCAACAAACGACAACCACTGAACATAAACTAAAACGGAAATTATCTCCAGTTTAATTACCCTTCTGAAAACACAACACTACGACAACTTAGGTCGGAATATATCTAAAGATTCAATAAACTTTGCTGAAAATTATCTGATTGATTGATTGTTGCTTACATAACACCTAGCAAACTGTTTACAATAATACAATAGGTAGTTTCTGCAAGGTAGAACGACAGGGATGAAAGGGGAATAATTTGGATTGATCGATCGATTGGTGATTGCTTTACACCTCATCAGCACAAAAAGGCTATATCGTGGCGAATGATAATTTTGACTGCCACTGTTGGAAAGGAGCAGACATTTTGCTTTGCAACAGGCCGCTAATAAGCTCCTAAAACTTGTTGTAAGGGTTATTTAAGGTCCACAGACCATGGAACTGTTTACATAAGGTTGAACATCATCTTTTAATGCCTTAGTCATACTGTTGACAAATATGAATTAATACAACCTTGGCAGAATCATTTGCAATACATTTTGTGTCATTGAAACAACATTAAACTAACTTGCTAATTTATGTGACATACAATTTGATCTCAAATGACCTTAGTTAAAGAATAACATATCACTTGTTTTTAATCAACTTCAACAATCTACAGCATTAGTCATCCTACTGTTAAACATTAATCTTAAACAACCTTGGTCAAATATATATATAAAGCCTCAGTTGTGATAAAGAAATTACACTGGCTGAATTTTGTTGTGCTTTGAGTTAATTTACCGTGACATACAACTTGGTCTTTATTTAAAAAGCTTGACAGGAAGTTTCTGAAACCTTAGTCATCAAACTTTCAAAAAAACGTAGTCATCAAACTCGCAAATCAGCCTTGCTTATCAAATTCATCATTGAACTCATCAAAAAGCCTTAGTCATCAAAAGTCACAAACACATCCTTAGTCACCAAACTCACCAAAAAGCCTTATTCATCATACTCACTAAAAAGCTTTAGTCAAATCGATCATAAAGACTTAGTCATCAATCTCATCAAAACTCACCAAAAAGCCTTAGTCACCAAACTCACCAAAAAGCCTTAAACACCAAACTAACCAAAAAGCCTGAAACATCAAACTCACCAAAAAGCCTTAGTAATCAAATTCATCAAAAAGACTGGGTCATCAATCTCATAGAAAAGTCTTGGTCATCAACACTCACCAAAAAGCATTGGTCATCAAATTATTAAAAATATTTGTCATCAAATTATTAAAAAAATTGGATCAAGATTTATGGACTGCTTCAGAAAATTTGCAAGAAACTAAGACACTTTTTGTATAAAACTATCTTAAACATTTAGAGACCCTAAGGTTCATGTGAAGGATTAAACATAATTCTTCTGCGATGTTTTGTAGATATTTGTTTTCCTACCATTTCAGTTACCCGTCCATGTACGTCCTTTACTTATGATTTTTACTTGTCACCTTGGTATCAACCAGATACCATACAAGAGGATAGGGGGGGGGTTGTCCTCCACGTCTGTATTCTTTCATTTTTTATGCCATTTTTCTCTATTCTCTATTTTTTACCCATAATTCTCTATTCTTTATTTGTTTTTGCTATTTTTGTACTATTATTAGTGGCCTCGGTGACCGATTGGTCTGAGTAGTCGAACTACTGTATCACTGAGGTTGTGAGTTCTAATCGCGCACGGGGCAGGTGCACTCGACTCCATTCTTAATTGACTAGGATTGTTAGTTTTCTTACCGAAGGTCGGTGGTTATCTCCGGGTACTTCGGCTTCCTCCACCAATAAAAACTGACCACCACGAAATAGCACAATAGTGTTGAAAGTGGCGTTAAACACCAATCAATCAAGCAATTTTTATTCTTTATATTTTTTGCTTTGATTCTGCACCTTTTGCTTATTCTTTATTCTGTAAACCCCATTCAGAAACTCATACCAAAGAAACTGTTCTAAGTTTCATTTTGGTGTGACCGCTATGATTTGTGCCATTTAAAAATGTTTTGATGCTTTTTAGTAAATAGATGCAGCTTAATCCTTGCTGTGTTCATTGTTTATTATTGCATTTTTGTTGCATAAAATTTAAGCAGAAAGTTAAATATTTGGCAAAAAGAAAATTTTAAGGTAAAATAACTACCATCTTCTTTGGTGTTAAACACCATCAATCAATCCTTTCAGTTATGTATAAACACATTTTAGTGTGGAGTTGTATCAAAGGATTTATAGAATAAGGCTATGGAAATGAACAAAACCACATTCCAAGGAGGGGTGGCTAAGTTTGTTTTTATTTCTGTGAACCGATTTTAAAAAGATCTTAAAAGATAAAATATGTATTGAGTTTAAAGGTAAAAAAACAATAATGTTATTCAAAATTCAAGATAATATTTGGTTGTTTAGTGCTGAGATTACTATAACACATTCGTTAAAGTAATCTCAGGTTTAATGCATCCCAAGAAGAGCTAATCTGACTTCTGTTTACTTTTGTTGTAAGTTTTTTTTCCTGACAAGTGATAAAGTTAAAAGTAAAATTGATTTTCAGTAAATCTTTTGTTAATCCTTGATATAGATTGCTGTACATGAAATATAATGTGTATATAAAAGAGTTTAAGAGAACTGAAGGGTACAGATTGCATTCATTTTTCAGTGGGAATTAAAAATTAAACACATTGCATTGTATAAAGTATCGGAAGGCAATACTATAAATTGGAGATATAATAACTATGATTATGGACAAAAGGAGGATAACTCAAATTTTAAATATTACTTGACACATTGACAGCATTGATATTTCTAGAACAGATATTAATTTCATGCACCATGTACAAGTTAAGTCAATGGTTAAGGGTTAAACACTTACAGATCATTTTGAAACTTGAATATCTGAGTACATATTTCATTGATTTCTTAAAATGTTCATTGATAGGATGTATAGACTTTTGTGCCTACTCAAATAATATAGTTGTTATATTTCGCTGATCTAGATATCTACATTAGCAATTAGGAGAGATCGATAATGGGGAGGGACTGAATTATTCGGGTAAGCTATATTCAAGATGTTGTGTGTATCTTAAAAGTAGTGATAAAGTCTGAAAAATTGATAACTATCAAGTCAGCCACATAAGGGGTTTGTATGCAATCTTTATCCCAACAAAAACAAAAGGGTCTGCATTTTGTATTGTATTTTGTGTAATGTAATTAAAAAACAAAAAAAAGCTGATTGTTAATTTAATAAAATCATAGATTCATTTGTACACAGTATAATATATGTACAACAATAAATTGCATTGCACTTTCATAATAAATAACACATTTAAATGTCTCACATTCTGCAGCCGGTTGTACGAACGTGTCATTAGTCTAATGAGTCATTAAGTCTTCATTAGCCTAATGCATCATAAAGGCTTAATGAGGATCTAATGACCAATTTGGCTAATGCCACGTTCGTCTAACCGGCTGCAGATCCTTAAAGGTTAAATACATATATGTAAAATATCTTTTAACTGCCCACAATTGGAAGATCGTTTTTCATTATTAACATGTTCAGAAAGGTGGAAATTACTCATTTTTCACATTCAAATGTTATACACATGTAATAGGATCATGAAAGGTTATAGAATTGATATATATACTGTATGAAATGTTTTTAAAATGTCTTTGACCATTACTGAACATGCTGAAGATGGTTTTTTGAAACTTATGACCTTTAAATATTATTTTCATCCTTGTATGCAGCCATATTTGGT